ACATTAAAGGCACCCAGACCATTTCGTCTCATTGAAGTAGTCTGGGTGCAGTGATCCTGGCTTTTTATTCCTGCAATCTAAAACATTGCCATTTACTACATACAGCAATGTTTTGGATGCAGGAGTAAACACACCTCTAGTGACCATCTTCCTGACAGCCACTAGAGGCGCTGCTGCACTCATAACTGAGTTTGACTTGGTTATGTGATGTTCTATGCCCCAGTCAGTGCATTGCATGAGGACCTCGAACATCATTAAATGCTGATCATAGGCAAGCACTGGTTACAATGCTTCCCTATGAGGAGCATGTAACGGCACCCCCAGGCATAAAAGGGGTTAAAAGCCGTTTAGGAGATATTCCCTTCCAGATATACAGGCAGCTACTGTAGACACCAATCCACCGAACTGGAGAAGCATACGAATGCTCTCAAACATACGAATGCTGTAAACAGCCGAATAGGAAAAACCATACGAATAGGTTTACACTCCTAGCAGTCGAACTGGAACAGCATACAATAAATAACCCCCAAGAACGAGACGAGGCTCCGTTTTGAGGGTCAAGCAGGAACAGACAGAGCTGTGGGTTTATTGTTCTTATATACACATTCTTACACATTAGTACCACCCACAGGGTTTTGTAAAACAACCAATAAACAAGTACAATACACTCAAACACTCCCACACAAAATCCTCCCCTCTGTCTGTGATACAATTACCTTACACAATGGGTTAATGTAATTATCACAGGCAGAGAAATACAGTTTTTCCTCATTATGTATAACTTTACAAGTATGCATCACATTCACATAAATCTTACATTTTCAGAATCAGCATACTCCAAATACAAACGTCAAAATCATACAAATTGGTCCAGTGGGTCAAAAGGTAGATCGAAGTCCTTTGTGACCAAATGAAGCATTGCTTTTCTGCCCAAAACCAGTTCCACATAGTCTTCTATACTGGAGATAATTGGGAAGTAATCCAATTATCTCCAAGGACAGAGGCAAAACTCCATTGAACACATGGTAGCAAAAGACAATAAAATACATAAAAATATATAACTGTGCAGTTATTGCATAAAACAGGTACATTCAACATATCCCCAGATAGCTTAGATCTGAGCGCACATTATTACTGAATGGCGCTCAGATCACATACATACAGTTCAATTGCCATGGAGCCAAAGTCTTTCACATAGTCTTTTGTTATACTAATGGGCTCCATGGCATAGCTATCTGGGGTATCAATGTTCAAATAGGGCAAGTACTGAATGACCCGGCTTTCGTGTCTTTGCAGGGGAAAATCAAGCGTTTCAACATGGGGCCATAGTCTAAAGGCAGCAGGCGGGCAACCAGGCTCCTCCAATGCACAGTGGCGAGATTGGTCTCGTCACAAAGCATTTGATTGGACACCCGTGGTGCTCACCATGCATGTGCTTCTCATCCCAATGCTTCTCATAAAGTTTGGACAAGAAGGAAATTAAGTGACACCTGCCAGATGATTTCACAGAAGGAGGAGCAAGTGGCAGCATCCAATGGAGTTTTGATGCTGGAAAAAAAGATACGTAAAAATCTTTATATTTGTTGGGGGTGCTCTCTAATCTAAATAGTGGGAACTGAGACACGATAGTTTTAGGAATACATGTTCGTATTCCGGAAGCTATAGTGTTATTTTATTGTGTAATGAAACAATTGGGATTTTATATCAAAAACTGATATGTAAAAAAAAAATCTTATGCATGTAGTTTGACACATCTGGTTTATCACGATTTATTAATTAATACATTCGTTACTAAATGAATATCTTGATACAAACAAACACACACATTATAATAAATAAACAATGGTTGCCAGTCTGTGTTATCAAAGGGTGGCATATTTGGGGAGTTTATTATTAAATGAAAAAGTGATTGGAGTTGAATTAATAAAACAAGTGTACGTATTGACAATAATACCTGATAAATTGCAAAATAGCCTTTGACCCCATGATATTTACTGAACCTGCGTTGTCTGCACAGGATGGTTTACTAAACATACCCATGTAAACAGAGTCCCAACAATATATGCCAGATACCGTCGGTAAACTGAAGGAAGTGAATCTTTTCATTCAAAGTTAAACGAAGCATGCAAAGCTATTGAATCAAAAAGTATCATTACACAATTTAGCTCAATTTACAGGGAAATTATCAATATTATTTTTTTATATTTTGTTTACTTATTCCCTCTATTTTAAAATATGTGTTTGGAAACCATGAAAAATAAAATAAATGTAGAAATTCACACCTCCCCAACCAGCATATGGATGCCTCCATCTTGGTTCCCTGACAATCATATTTATAGCCTTTGACCTTTGTGCCTGGCATGCATCGAGAGAGAGAAGATGCTGAAATTAAATAACAATATATGTTATATATCTGCAGAATAGTACTAACTATACACATGAAAACATGTGCGTAGAGCATAAAGAGACAATCACATGACAACGACTTCCTGTATACTTTAGGAAACAATTTTAAAATTGGTTACAGCTAAAATGCTCTCATCAACTGTACTCTGCATTACACATCATCTCATTTCTACCACTTTATCAATAACATTAATTCATCCTTTGTTCATTTCATTTCCCCAACTCTATCTCTTAGGGATTTCTCCAAGGATTATTATTTTATTATTATTATTTTATTATTTATATAGCGCCATCAGATTCCGTAGCGCTGTACAATGGGATACCCAATTCTTATAAAATACCCTAAATTGTTCTATCATAATTTAGTTTTCTCCTAGCTCTTCGCTAAAGAATGCTACCCCAAATGACATCACAAAAGGTGTATTATCTGATGTGATCCTTTATTCACATTCTTATTCACTGCTATTTAGGTTGTAAGCTCACGGGCTATCTAGCTAAGCGTGTTGTATAAAAAAGCTTCAATGGCTTGATCACAGCTTACGGGCAGGGCCCTCTCTACCTTTTGTATTTGTCTATGTATATTATACGTTCTCCCCTAGCGCTTTATAAATACCAGTAATAAATTAATTAATTTGCCATATAGTGTATTTAAATAATGTGTATAGCTAAATTCAGACTATAGACCGTTCCCTCTATATTCCATTTTTAGTAACATCACACTTTTGTACAGCTGTATCCAACCTTTTTAAGGCTCTAATCCCTTTTTAATAAAGCTTCATCTATTCGTTACTTATTCCCCTAAATGTTTCATTATTTATTGTATTGTTTTGTTGTCACATTGCACAGTACCCTGGAACATTCAAACATTCTCAATCGGACATACGTCAAATGAGTTAAATCTCAAATATAATTTAAAAAATAGATAGACAGACAGATAGATAGATAGATAGATCTAGTTATTTTGACTGAGAATGAATATAACTCTTTATCTGTTTATTTATCCATCTTCGCACATAGCTTGACAATAAAGCAAGCCCATCAGGTAGGAATAGGTGCTGCCACTGACCTGCTTCTGCTTCCATTCGTGCGCTGTATCTAGAAAACACAGTCTTTCTGCTGTATCTATTTATCTCGATAATTTTAATCTAATAGCCTTTTTCCTACCTATTGCATTATTGTGTTGAGCCATGCTTTAACTTCCATGTCTAAATGTTAATTGATAATAATAATCCACATTATGGTAAGAAAAGAATTCTGGGTATTGAGCGGAATGCTTGCTAGAAGAAGAAAGGGATGAAGAAAAATGATAGGGTACCTGCAATTCCAAGTAACAAGGCATTCTGATTACTTGTGCGATGGGATGAGGCGTACTATCTCTATGTACTAAGGGTAAATTATAGAGAAGGTTATTATTGTCTCAATAAGAGTGAACAATTATTCCAGACACAATCCCCATCTCTGGGCAGCAACTGCCCTGCACAGAGGATCTGTGAATTAGGTTTGGAAAGGTCACGGGGGTCAGTTAAATGATAGTAGCTGTGCTGCTAAAGGTCAGTACATTATCAATTCCAGTTTTGGTCCATTGTGTTGTCTTTAATGTGAAGAATGGCATTGGGGGGGAGACAATAAACAGGTGATGTTGATGGATACCTCTAATTAAATGAGACATGTTTGCAACCCCCAACATGAATTAGATGAGGCTTAGAAATCCATATTCAGATATGGGCCACAATTATTACAAACCTCTAGGATTGCTGTTTATGTATGCCTTCCTGTAGTAGCGTTGGAGTGTTTTATACTAATGTCTCTTCCAATAAAGCAAGGCATAAAGTGTCATTTAAACAGCATGGTGTTATGTAGGCGTGCTTTACATAATATGACGTAGGACCCCATCTAAAATGACGTAGGGTCCCATCAATCCAGAAGCAGGACGGTAACAGCAAAGATTAAATGTCAATATTATTCTAATATTCAATGTACTCAGTGAACATGTTGTTTAGTGATGGACATAAACTGCCCTTTAATGTCTATTCTCATCGATTATAGATAACGTCTTATATTTACCTATCTTTATACAATATGAAACATTAATATCATCAGATATCACAAAGGATGCATGATTTGACAGAGTCTAGAACAAATAGTACAATATTTTGTTTCTGATGTAATAAAATGCATTTTTTCTGCTAGCATTTACATTCTCTTTATGTATCTATCTGTGTATCTATCTATCTATTTATCTATCTCTCTATCTCTCTATCTATTTCTGTCTGTCTATCTATACGTATATCTATGTTCTATTGCCTTTAACATTGCACATTGTTCTTCTCGCCTATTAAATTAATTTAAAAAATGTATTTTTCACATGGACTTACTGATTGCAGGCCTGTATTTTTAGCGTGAGAGCCATGAAATGGGGGGTTTGATAGAAGCACAATTTGCAGTAAATAAACAGATCTGTTTTTTCATCCTGTGCACATTGCCCTGCTAAAGCATCCTTCGCCTTTAAGAATGAGAGCTGTGATTCCTGCAATCAGTGAAGTTACAGTAAAAGCATATTGATCCGAAGCCCATATTGCATGAACAGGAGGGCTCAGACAGGCAACCTAATCAACTTATTTCAGTGTAAGCATTTAACCATTTATAAATGTTTTATTTCAGGAGAACCACTAACACCTGCTGCCTAATAAATACCATGTAATGTAATCCATCCACACCCAAGCTAAATGATGAGCTGCATCCATTGCTTTCTGATTTTAATTAGACCCTGGGATGTTGCTCAGCCAAGAAGGCCCACATGAAGAAGGTAAATGCAGCTTTTATGCAGAGGGGGCTGACAACTTCCTCCAAGGCAGCTATTGCCAGATCGAATCTTTCGATTGTAACTGAAACAATTTGCATACTGATTCTTCTATTGCTTCCAGATCCATAACAAGGCAGAGAGCTATTCAAATGCATGAGGCATCCTTAAATGCAAGCAAGGCAAGGCTCACCAAAAAGCCACAGGGTGAGGAAAAAAAAGCACACTGCGAATTCTTATCTTTTCTATCATTATTTTTTAATACAGATTTATTTGTGTATATATATTTATTTTTTTTTATTCTGGATGCAGGCTGTTAATTTTGCAAGCACACACACCAATAATGCAGGTGAGGATATGGACCAGATGCTGGCAACAAGGATGGAGCAAATATTGCAAAGATGCTTTGACCTATGCTGGAAGAAGAGGAGGTTTGGAAATGGATACTGCAAGATCTCCAGAGGAGGGACAGACCCAGACTACATAGAGGAAGATTATGGCATTTTTAAGGGGCTGTGTCTCTTGTACCATGCTGATGGAGGAGGTATCAGTGTTTTATCATGTCACAATATATCCTTCATTTCTTTTTACTGTAGTCCTCAATAAATATGTTATCTTCATTTTTATGTTTTTGTTTTGTTTTTTGTTTTTTGTTTTTGTTTTGGATTTGTTTGTTTGTTTGTTTTTTGGAGGGGGTCGCTGTCTGGTGTTTTAAAAGGACTAACAGACACCCCCTCCCTGCACTGACGTCTCTTCTCTCAAATGAAATGATTCAGATAGATTTTTTTTTTTCTTGCTTTCTAGAGGGTCAAACTTAGGAAAGGACCTTGGGTGAAATGTCAAAGAGGCAACTTGCCATCAAATCTGCTAATGTGTTCTGGATCAAGGGGGAGAGCAGATCTCACTGGATCATGATAACCAGGGCACTGGTACACACCTTGCGTCAAGTGTGGGGCTAAAGGCATGCGGGAGGAGGATGGAAAGGAGGGTATTTGGCAGCCTGCTGGGTTTAGTGGGCACAAAGCAAGGTTTTACTGCTTATCAGAGGTCAGCAGAGAGTCACAGGATAACATTCTGCTCTACTGAGTGTTCATCACTGCTCCAGCCTAGGGTCATTCAATGGGCAGCTCTGACACAGGGCTGGGGTATATAGATAGCAGGCATATAAGGAGAGAATAACCTGAACGGATCGCTTTTATATCTTTAACACGTGTACACCAAGCAAAAAAATATTATATGTGATAGATAGATGATAAGTGTGTGTGTGTGTGTGTGTGTGTGTACATAGAGTACATTTTTAAAATACATGTATGTATGTATGTTCCCTAAGTGTTCTCATGCATTGAAATAAAGAGATACAACTATATAGATATACATGTGTATCTGTGTGTAACTGTATATGTGTATCTTTCCATTTATGTGTGTGTACTGGACTTTGTGTGCGTATATGTGTGCGTGTATATTTGTGTTTATTTTGACCAGAAAGTTTTAATAATATCCCCCTGAATTTGGTTCTGGATATTTAACCCTTGATATACAGGAGGGCGGGCTCAATAGGGTGGCAGCACTCTGTTTAAACTGGTTATATAATGGATGAAAGTTTTTGTGAAGGGGCAGGTGGAGGAGGGGAAATTGGTGTGTGAATGTATATTGCAGCTTAGCATTCCGTGTTAGCACACTAACCACGATGTGTTTGTGAATATGAGAAATGTCATTTTCTGAACTGGGAACATTCGATACATTTGTATGATCTAAACAAGATTGGTTTCTGTTAGTCGAGCCAAACTGAAAAATAATATGATTTTATAATCTCAGGTTATTTTATAACATGTGAAATGTATAAATTCGAGTGTCAATTACTTCAATGTGACAAATTATTTTAATCTTAGTTAAAAAAAATATGTGCGTATATGTATTTAGTATATATAAATATATGTATAGTGTGTGTGCAAGAATTAAAAGGGTTGGTTTTCCTGTATTAGCTAGACTTCTGTGTATACAATGTTTCTCTGATAACAGACCCCAGGTGTTTGTAGAAAGGATCACAGTCAGTTCTTGTCTGATTGATTTTGCTACCAACCTTAATTATCAATATTGACCTTAATAATAATCCTTAATTGAAACGTTATCAGAAAATATATATATATATATATACATAGCACACACACATGTATCTATATTATAAAATAGGTGTACACATATAAATGTATATGTATGAAAAGGCAGAGAGAACGAGTGAGTACATTAGTGTACTAGAGTCTTTTAATTCAGAAATATAACATTAACTCTCTACCGGGGAAGGCTAGCAGCCTATTCTAGCTGTGAAAGGGTTAAAAATTTGGAGACCTTGGTCCCATCCTATATAATGATTTGGGAGAAGCGGAAATGACGTTTTGGCCATATAAAAGTGCCTGGTAATTGGTATGCAAGTCAGGACACATCCATGCACACAATCAGTTCATAATCTCAGGTGATTCTAAAAGACTGTGCTGTGTGCACTACAGACAATGCACCTTGCATGTATACTGCAAATAACAGCATTGTATACCGGCTAGTATACATAATTAAATGGGGCTGTGCCCTGTAGATCTGAAAATTCTAAAACCAAATACTATGGTATTTTGCAAAAAACACAGTGAGAATTTATGATGAGGCTTGACGTAGTAATCAATAGTGAAGCTATATGGTCAAATAAGCCAGGAACCAGAGTCTGATAGTGTGTTATGTGCATGCACACAGCAATTACTATAAATAGAAGAGAATAGCTTAAAACGAATTTATTTCCAAAATCACTGGTTAAGAATATTATATTTAACTCGAAGAAATTCGGTATATTTTACAAATACAATGTAAAATGGTCACATCTTAACATATTGAGAATGGGCATTCCTATGTTAAATGTTTTATGGTGTCCAGGAGGCTAGTGAGTTAATTAATGCATGTATGGAGTTAATATGGCGCTGTATGTATGTAACTCATAGGGTGATGCCTGTTTGTAAATCCTAGAGTAATCCTTTCATGTGGCTAAATAGCTAATAGGGTAATGCTTGTATATAATTAATAGGGTGATCCTGTATATGACTACTAGGATAATCCCTGCATATAACTAATAGGATAATCCTTGCATATAGCTAATATGGCAACTCCTGTATATAGCTAATAGGATAATACATATATATAACAGGGTAATAACTGTATATAGCTAATAGGATAATGCATACATGTAACTAATAGGATAACTGTATATCGATAATAGGGTAATAACTGTATATATCACTAATCGAATAATCCATGTATATATAACTAATAGGGCAATATCTCTATATAACGAATAAGGTAATTCCTGTATATAGCTAATAGAATAATACATATATATAGCCAATAGGATAACTGTATATAGCTAATAGGGTAATAACTGTATACAGCTAATATGATAATACATATATATAACTGTATAGCTCACTAATCGAGTAATCCCTGTATATATAACTAATAGGGCAATATCTATATATAACGAATAAGGTCATGCCTGTATATAGCTAATAGGATAATACATATATAACTAATATGGTAATACCTGTGTATATATAACTAATATATAACGAATAAATAATATATAATAAATAATATGTATATAACTAATAGGACAATACCTGTATATAATTTATAGAGTAATCCCTGTATGTATAACTAATAGGACAATACCTATATATACCTAATAGGATAATCCCTGTATATAATGTATAGAGTAATCCCTGTATGTATAACTAAAAGGACAATACCTATATACAGCTAATAATCATCATGTATACCTAATATGGCAATACCTGTATATAGATAAAAGGGTAATCCCTGCATATAGCTAATATGGCAATACCTGTATATAGCTAAAAGGATAATCCCTGCATATAGCTAATATGGCAATACCTGTATATACCTAATAGGGTAATCCCTGCATATAGCTAATATGGCAATACCTGTATATAGCTAAAAGGGTAATACCTGTATATAGCTAATATGGCAACACCTGTATATACCTAATAGGGTAATCCCTACATATAGCTAATATGGCAACACCTGTATATACCTAATAGGGTAATCCCTACATATAACTAATATGGCAATACCTGTATATACCTAATAGGGTAATCCCTGCATATAGCTAATATGGCAATACCTGTATATACCTAATAGGGTAATCCCTACATATAACTAATATGGCAATACCTGTATATACCTAATAGGGTAATCCCTGCATATAGCTAATATGGCAATACCTGTATATACCTAATAGGGTAATCCCTACATATAACTAATATGGCAATACCTGTATATAGCTAATAGGGTAATCCCTGCATATAACTAATATGGCAATACCTGTATATACCTAATAGGGTAATCCCTGCATATAACTAATATGGCAATACCTGTATATACCTAATAGGGTAATCCCTGCATATAGCTAATATGGCAATACCTGTATATACCTCATAGGGTAATCCCTGCATATAGCTAATATGGCAATACCTGTATATACCTCATAGGGTAATCCCTACATATAGCTAATATGGCAATACCTGTATATAGCTAAAAGGATAATCCCTGCATATAGCTAATATGGCAACTCCTGTATATACCTAATAGGATAATCCCTGCATATAGTTAATATGGCAACTCCTGTACATACCTAATAGGGTCATCCCTGCATATAACTAATAGTAATAATGCTGTATGAATCTGATTGGGTAATGTCTATATGTATGTATGTTCTTGCTCGTTCTTTGCTATGTGTGGATGTGTACAATTCACTGGTGTAGCAAATACAATTATATAACATTATAGTGATAACTACCAGGTGTAATTATTCAAAATATTCATGCATCATATTATTAAAAAGGCATTTCAAATTCAGGGCTTGCTAGTTTTATTGTAACCTGGGGGCTCTGTCTATCTATCTATCTATCTATCTATCTATAAATCTGTCTGTCTGTCTGTCTAATCTCTGTGTGGAACACATCTATAGTTTCTCTCTATATGTAATTATGTAGAGAGAGAGAGAGAGAGATTCTGTAAATATATACAATCACTTAAAAATACTTTTCTTGCTTGATGTCCATATTCTGAAGAAAGCCAACTAATCGATATAAATCAGCATTACGTGCTAAACAGATACAATTGAAATTATATATACAGATAAAATAACACAAATGTTTTTCTCTGTGTTAAAAAAAAAAGAAAGTGTACCCAGTTTGGGTTCTAATCTTGATAAGGGACGTAGTTGTCCTGTCTTGTTTGCTGAAATGGAATAGAATTCTATGCAATACATTACCATACGAATGTATGCACTATTTAACTAAAAGACAAAAAGTAAATGTATGTAAAATGATACTTGAAAGGGCAGAACATTATTTGCAGTAAATATATTTTCCTCTGTGTTTGTATGAAAATGAAAGTAGCTGTTCTCCATTTAAACCATATAAGAATACAATAAATCTAATTTTCACATCGATTTTTTTTGTTGAATGAAGTGATATCTGCAGTCCTTGGCTGGGCTTCTTTCTCATTTGCAGTCTCTTGTTCAATACAGATTGCACAGAATATTGCAAATGTTATGGAAATCATCACAGATTGTGTACAAGAAAATAAATCCGATTTAAATCAGGGCTCAACGTCACCGTTCGCAATATAAAACTTCATACCTTGTATGTTACCAATAAATATATCTGGTTAGACTCAGTATAAATATACTGAGAATCACTAAACAGAGGGATGGATTATTCTCTGTGTTGTGACTTGAGGACAAAATAACCGATTTAAAAATGTAGAGTTATATCAGCCTAATAGCTCACGTTGCCTTTCAGTTTAGCATAAACTTCACTGTTTAGTACATTCAATCCTTTATTTTATTTCTGGATAAATCCTTCTAAAAATTATTTAGAATCCACTTCTAAACCTTAACTCTAAATAGAATGAGGGGAAATTGAGAGTAAAATTGTATGATTGATACATATAATATTATTGGAAACATGTATAAATTCATAAGAAGGCACTTGTATATATCAATTACACTAGCTGCTTATTTCTATTGAAATTGGTCAATAAACCATCTTCCCAATGCTCATATTAATTTTCTTTCCTTTGCCTGTGTCTCAGATTACATTATATTGCCTGTTTGAAGTGGCTAGTTTTATTTTATTTTACATGCATTAAAATATTTAAATTTTTTTGAGAGTTCCAAGGATGACTTGATATTTGTGACAGTGATTATTTGTCTATTAGTTTGCACTGTGCCTCTATTTTTAAGAATATTCTTCTTTGGATTGTATTTATGATTGTGAGAAGTGAACAATAAATATAATAATGTTTTTATATTATTTTTCTACATCATCTTTACTACAAGCGATCTTTTTTTTTTCCCATCAAAGATTCACTGGCATTTAAATGTGTTTATTTTAGCAAATCACTTATTATAGATGGATGCAGAACCAACCAGTGTGGTTAAAATCCCAATAAAATCAATTTAATATTGAACGCTGCATCTGCCTCTATTCTAAATCCAAGTCTGTTTTTAAACCTCGTGTTTGATATTAAATGTTTGCAATCCTTATCACTCTATTTTATAACCACGATTACAAATATGTAGGGAGGGAGATACAGTTAATTAAAGTGACGATCATTCTGAATATCTTTTGCAAATTTTTAACTTTTTGTATAACGTGTTAACCTCTGAATATTTAAACAATGATACCACCACTTGTTTAACAAGGAAACTACGTAGTATCCTAGCAACGCCATAATTTCCTGGCAGCAAGTATTAAGTCACTTTGTATCAAATGAGAGGAACATTATTATACATACAAGTTACTCATCCAAACCTACACACATTATTTAAAACGTTTTTGTTGTTTAAAGATATCATTATATACAATGTTGCCTTTTAAAATATAGTAACGTTGATAGTGGATTAACTAGGAAAATATTACATAATTCAAAATACAATATAAAACAGTTACAATAAATTTATGGTCGATAGGTGTTGTGTTATATATGTATTGTTTTTATTATTGTACATTTATTATAGAAATAAAAATACAAAGAGCATTCCTGTTTTAAAAAAAAATAAATAGAAGGGAAAAAATATGGTACTGATTTATTTTTTATTTTGATAAACATATTTATGTTTTAAATAGTTCGTGTTTCATATTTAAGGATTAATTATTAGATTTTAAATAGTACTTTCATGTTTTGAAATATCGAACAAATATGTGGAATGGATAATGGGGTCCAAATGAAAATATAAATATAAATATTATTATATTATATTTTTAATAACACATTTTATATTTCTGTTATGAATACTTTATCAAGCTGTTTGTTTGGTTTTTTGTTCACTAAACGGCGTGTTGTGGTGGATTAAAAACAAACTTGGAAAGTTGGAAAATTAAACCGAAACGTAGATTTGTAAAATATAGACCAAATAGGTGGAAACGTCACCCTATCAATACTGGAGATTTATTTCAAAGCCAATATTTTTTCTTGAATTCGTGTTTTATTTTTATTTATTTTTTTTAAACTAGCACTGAGTGTGATTGCAATCATATAAGTATATGTATTAAATGCAACGAGTACGCCTGTTTTAGAGAAGTTATTTAGGCAGTGCTTTGTATTAAAACCAGGGCGTTTGGAGTGGGTGTAATATAGATACATTTCTTCTAAAATTAAAAAACAAAGTGTGAGATGAGATAAACAAAAAAAATAGAATCTAACTCACTGAATGGCTCATTTTACATTTTTTTCTTAAATTCCTATTCCTAGTTTTGGTAACATAGGGCACGATATGAAGTTCATACGCTTACATTAGCGATAGAAAAAAAGGCTTGCTAGTTACTAAACAGCGAACTGACAATCTTTAGGAATGAGATAGAAAAGAAAAAAATAAATACATTGACTGAGTTGAATAATTGTTTAGAATTTTCTCTTTCTCGGGGATTTATTAACGTGTTTTCTAATTTGTTTATTATTTGTATGTAGGACAGATAAAAAGTTTATCCATTGATCTCTCTTTGTTTTTTTTCTTTTCCATCATTAAGATCATTAATACAGGCTATCAATAACCCTGTCGTTTGCAGCATAGCTTCACAGTATTGATTGGCCCAGCTATTCATCTCTGCCATACAAGTCATGGAATAATTTTCGCATTACAGTAGCTTGGATTTGCTTTTAATTCATATTTAAAGCTGCAACCAGCCCTGTGGAGCTCTCTGTGCAAAGACTAGAGGCGCCTAATTAATAATAAACTCAGAAACTAAGGAAGGCATCAGGAGATAAATAATTAATACAGACATCTATGTCTCTCTCAATATTACAACTTTAAAGTTTGAAAGTCGGTAGGGCCACAATGTCTGCAACCTGAACTTTATCTCCCAACCCACCCCCTCCCAGCACACACACACACACACCATTCTTATGTACACTGGACTCTCAGAAGAGATAGACTTTACTTTTGTGTGTTTCTGGTGTATTCACAAAGGTGAGGTGTGGGGAGCTGGCAACAGGCATACAGGAATTGGATCAGAATTAATTAATTCAAGGCATTTTACATTTTAAGATTTTTCAGTTTGGCCTAATTTTTCAGTAATCCTCCCTGATCATCTTTGTATTCAGAGAGGAAGAGAGGGAGGGGGAAATTGATAAGAAAAAAAAAAAGGTGATTGGGAAAGCAAGGGAGGGAGAGATGGGGGTGTGAGCTGGATATGGAGTGAGAGAGACAGTGAGAGGGACAGGGGGAGATAGAGCCTGTAAGGCAGAAAGAGAGTGCTTTTAAGGGATGAAGGAAGAGATCACTTGGAAGGGGCAGGGGAATGGAGACCTAGGAAAATGGGGAGACGGTACTGATGGGAGATTGGGGCATATGAAGGGAGAGAAGAATAATGAGGTGGAAGGAATGATGGTCTTGGAAGGGAGGGAGAGATAAAATGAGGGAGAGGGAGCTAGGAGGGGGGTATGTGTGTGTATGTATGTATGAAAAATACACGTGTGTCAGCTACACACATGCAAACACTTTGGCTGTAAATTTAATGGACAGAATTCACATGTCTTTCCTCTCTCTAATGCTCATAAGCAGCCAATTGCCTTTCCATTTAGCACAGATTACACAGCACTGAAATGCATATATCGAGCACTAGGTGGTGAAGGGGTTAAATCAGATACTATGTGCACCTATCTCTGCCAGGCTGCTAATGGATTGCTGTGTGGTGTGTTTAGCATCCGAATAATAATGTGTTTTTGTTTGTTTTTGTAACTAAACTAAAATGTTTTTACTCCTTGACACTTGGAAAATCCAATTAACATTGCGTTACTGATACTACTTATATTTGTTCAGAATATGAATTTGTCCAAATAATAGTTTTCCATTTAAGCAATCTATTATTATTTATACACACGTAAATATATATAAATATAGATATATAGATACATACTAGTTTGGGCAGGTGTCGGTATCACAGAGGACCTACTAATTCTATACAGAATTATTTTTAGTGAATATGCCATTGCTTTAAAGAAAAATATTTATTGCAAGGAAAACCATATATTTCCTCTTCAATAACCACCATATACTACTTACTGACTAGAGACCACATTGTATAACAGTAAGCGTGGATGTCCCAACGCTAGGTATATAGGTGTGGTTTGTTACTGAACAAATTGTCAGCTATAAGAGAAAAACACACATACTAAGGCCGCTTGAATGAATCTTAACAAAAGTCTAATTTCCTCAATTGCAAAGCAGAACGCCACGCGTGTGAATAAGGAAGGAATATCGACCACTCTGAGAATCTGAGCAGATGTTCCACGTTCTATAACCCACCAAAGCCCTCCTTACTCCGCAATGCTGTATGCCACCCTGTGTAAACTGGGCACTTAGTGGGCATTGCCTGGCTGTGGGTAACTTTAGGAATTTCAATCGTCATATTCAGTCCTGGCTGTATGTAAAGAATAAATTTCATATTGAAATAAACTCACAAGTTAAAAACAAATATGTGTGACGTGTTTGAGCAGCAAAAAAAAAATGTGAATGTGTGTGTATCTATATATCACTATATAACTAATTATATATACATAGCTACACACACACACACACACACACATATATAGATATAGCAGAAATGATCGCACCCCAAGGACTTTGTAGAGATTTTCAAATAAAATTTAACTTTTATTCAATCCATTTAAAAAGTCAACGTTTCAGGTCCCACATGGAACTTTCATCAGGACAAAACATATATATATATATATGATCTCTCTCTCTCTCTCTCTCTCTCTCTCGCCTGTAAAGTTTCCATTTTATAATTCCCTCTGTCTGTTTATAAATAGACAGTGTGAATTGTAGAATAGAGACTTTACATGGTATGTATAGATTTACACCTGCTTACTATCAGACATTCAGATAAAGAAAGTGTATTGGGCTGAATAATATGAGTCATTTCTAAAATAGAACGTAGGAGTTTGAACACGTATAGCGTACTGGGTGCAATGATCTATTATACTTATCTCAAATTAAAAAAAAAACCTCATAACAATAATAATAATAATAATGATATGGGTATAATTTGATTAAAATCTTGTTAATTTAAAAATGGACTTTTCCAGTTGCAGTATAAATATATTTATTCTATTCAGTCTTATATCCACATATCTCTCCAGTTAATTGGACTATGAGTTTTTTTCTAGTGTTTTCCTACTTATAACATACTTTTTTTTTTTCTCTCCCTCCATTATCCCAGTGACAGATGTAGCTGCTGTATTAGTGGATGGATATGTTAGCCAGTAGCCTGAGCAAGGGGAGAGAATCTGAAAGCAGCCCCAGTGTCCAGCTGGTAGCTGTTGGCTTTTGGAGTCTTCAAGCCTCACCTTTGACATGTAGCCTTTTGGGGAAGAGCAGAACCTTCCATCCACTGACCAGTGCAAGCTGTCACCCCCAACACAAGGACAGCAAGAGGTGGAGGGGACAGGAGGCGTCAGCATCTTCCAACTGCATCACCCTGGATGCTAATTAGAAATCACCTCTAATTGGAACAGAATAGACAACCATGATACTTTGTATTGATGTTTCCTCTTACAATTACTGGTTTACCCATTCCATTGTCATTGTATTGTGAAGAATGGGAGGGTGCTAGCCAGATATATTTGTTTTAATGTTTCAACCTGTATAAATATATCTGTGTATAAAATAAAATGAATATGTCTGAAAAAATATGTCGTTCAAACCTATTTGTTTATGTGATTGTCTATACTGGTGTTGGTCATAATCCTACACATGGAAGAGATGCTGGTGCACAGAAAGCTGTTCAAGGTCCTGTTAATTTGTTTAAATATGAGATATGCACTTGGGTTCTCTTGCACTATTGGGGTTAGGAGATCATGTGTTGGCCAGTGAAAGTCATCATATATGAACCATTGCTGGATTCTGGTGGATATAATACGTGTCCTATTTGTCTTTAAGATGCATAATAAAACAAGCTTATAATGAACTCTACTCTATTTTTATGTAGCTAAACAAAGTCTTTAAGGATGTGATGAATATCTGAGTGGCTGAATATTTAGGTATATATTTATTTGGCCTGATTTCTTACACACATTTTATACAAAGGTCGACATTTTCTTTTACATTCTTTTTTAAGAATACATTTGGCTTTATCTGTCGAAGGTCTTCAATTTATTATATTGTATTATATTATATTATATTATATATATATATCCATAGATTAATAACTTGTTTTATTTTATTTTAATTGTTAAATGTCTTTTTTTATTATTTATCTATTTATTTATTTGCTGTAATGCGCAGAAATGCGTTGCTGGGCCTCTGCCAGCAAAAGGTTAATGTTGGAACAGACTGACCCCTGAATCCAGCCTTCTTGCTGTAGCTCAGTTTGGACAAATGAAAGGACATTTTGAGCGCTGCGATCTGCTGTTGCATGGGGGTCACACAATAGGCACATCTGTCCTTGCTTTCAGCAAAATCCTATACTTCTCTTAACAGCTGCATGTGGCTTCTGTTTAGAGACACAATCCCCCCAGAGCGACAGAATTCGCCCAAATTTTATTCTCGGAATAAAAAAAAAAAATGTTTTAATGTAATATGTCTATGTGTGTGATACTGTAGTGTGTGCATCCTGTCCTTGGATATGATATAAAGAGAGACTGGTCTGTGAAATATAAAAGAGAACAATATTAATCTCATGTTTCTTTTTAAAATAAACTACATATAACATAACACATACATACCCTGTATATTAATACATACACTATATATACTATACATACCCTGCATATATAATATACATACATACACTATATATACTATACATACATACATACATACCCTGCATATATAATATACTTACACTATATATACTATACTATACATACATACCCTGCATATATAATATACATACACTATATATACTATACTATACATACATACCCTGCATATATAATATACATACATACACTATATATACTATACATACATACATACATACCCTGCATATATAATATACTTACACTATATATACTATACTATACATACATACCCTGCATATATAATATACATACACTATATATACTATACTATACATACATACCCTGCATATATAATATACATACATACACTATATATACTATACATACATACATACATACCCTGCATATATAATATACTTACACTATATATACTATACTATACATACATACCCTGCATATATAATATACATACATACACTATATATACTATACATACATACCTACCCTGTATATTAAATAATACATACACTATATATACTATACATACATTGTATATAAATAATACATAAATACACTATATATACTATACATATATACCCTGCATATATAATATACATACCCTGCATATATAATGTACATACATACACTATATATATATATATAAAACGATACGTAAATAGACTATGGTTACAATGTATATCTAACAATGCATACACTGCATGTATAATAATACACACATATATTGTATAATAATATATACATACACAAAATGCATTATGGAGCTATATACACGATAGAGGATGGGGATTACAATAATTAAAATAGAAAGCAAAAATGCTGATAATAAGGCTAATGAAGAAAGGTGTCATATATCTGCTAATGCTGACAGATGTGTGAAACAGGAAAATAATATAAAACTTAGTTATTTCAGATGCAATCACTGTCATTATTAGGGGCTGTCTCTCATTATTTAGGTGTAATCACTCATTTTTAGGGACAGTCTCTGTCATTATTTTGATGCAGTCAACTTTCATTATTTAAAACCAGTCTCTGTCATGATTTAGGCATATTGGTAATAACTGTGCACACTAACATGAGAGCTGGCTCAATCTGAATTTTATTTGCATATGTTTCTCTGCTTCGTGTGCTGAGTTGGAAAAATCCGGAAGTCCAATCTGAGAGGACACACACACACATGCACACTTATAATGCAAAGTCAGTGAAGGGGAGGGTCCTGGGGGTGTAATTAAGAAAGTAAACTCGCCCATGTTTGAGGTGGAGAGGAGAGTGGGTGTGATTTAATTAACTGTGAGTCTGATGTGAAACCCCTATCAACATGTGTCTGCATCAGGTCTCATTTCACCAACAGTAATCACTACAAGGGGGATTTCTCAAGGTAAAAACAGGTGCTATTTCAGGGCAAAGTGCTAAATGAGGAGCAGTCACCATGGAAACCAACACAATGTCCCAATAGAAACTGTTTTGCCTTGATAGATACAGCTCTCCAAATATCATTATATTTATTATATATATTACTAATATTATTGGAAATTGTGATTAGGGGTTAAAGCCACATCTGAACCGTGTGACAATAGAACAACAAAGGAACTGGCATGTAATGGGTTAACCTATGCATATAATTTCTGACCTTAAAAAAAAACCCACACACAAACATTCTCTCTCTCTCTCTCTCCTCTTCCCCCCTCCCTCTCATATTAGTAGGGTTAATACCTGCATCATGGAAAGGGTTAATAGGAGCACATGTAATGCTCTGCCATTATAAATGTGATGCTGCTGGCTGTAATGAATGGGGTGCCATGGGGTAAACATGCAGGGAGAGGGCACTTTGTATGCTACACTGTGTTTTTGCATTTTTCTGGATCCCTGTGTTTCTATAATATTATGCCTGGCTGCCTCCACCATGTAGCTGCCTTTATGAGAAGAGGCTTTCTCTCCTTGACTGTCTCTGGACTTTACATGGTAAATAGAGAGGGCAGTGATGTCACAGGGAGCTAGCTGTGTGTGCTTTCTCTTCCCAGAGCTCCTCAGTGCGCATGCGCCTTGAGCCTCGGCAGCTGCAAGGGGCTGCTCTGTGATACATTGTAACAAGTGAGAGACATGGCAAGAGATGGCGAGGGGAATGGGCAGACTCCAATCACTGCTGCTGATCTGAGCAAGGCAAGAGGGCCTTCAAGATAGAAAGAAAGAAAATAATAATAATAATAATAATAAAAAAAAAAATAAAAAAATAAAAAAAGATACAACAAAAAAAGAAATAAAAAAAACAAAAACAGAAGAAAAAAAAAAAAAAGAGCAACAACAGAGACAAAAAAAAGAATACAGCCAAGGAAGAAGGGAAGTTATTGAGCCCCAATGTAAGGAATTCCTGGGACTTTTCTCCTGTACGCCAGATAGATGTGTGGACCACCATCCTGCACGTATAACAATGAACGCTCAGCTGACCATGGACTCTATGGGAGATCTGCATGGGGTGAGCCATGAGTCTGTTTCGGCCACCGCTGATCTGATGAACAACAGCCCGCACCACCGAGGCTCGGTAACCCACCGGAGCAACCATCTGTCTGCCCACCCCAGGTCCATGGGCATGGCTTCCATCCTGGACGGCGGAGACTACCACCACCACCACAGACCCCCAGACCATGCTTTAACCGGACCCCTGCATCCCACCATGACCATGGCTTGTGAGACCCCTCCTGGGATGAACATGAGCAGCACCTACACCACGCTGACCCCACTGCAGCCTTTACCCCCCATATCCACCGTATCGGACAAGTTCCCCCACCACCACCATCACCACCACCACCACCACCCTCACCAGCGGATACCTGGCAATGTGAGTGGCAGCTTCACCCTCATGAGGGATGATAGGGGTCTGACATCTATGAACAATCTCTACACCCCCTACCACAAGGATGTAACCGGGATGGGACAAAGCTTATCTCCATTATCTGGATCTGGTCTTGGCAGCATCCACAATGCCCAACAAGGGTTGCCCCATTATGCTCACCCCAGTGCCACCATGCCCAGTGAGAAAATGCTCACCCCCAATGGGTTTGAAGCCCACCATCCTGCCATGCTTTCCAGGCATGGGGAACAACATCTTACCCCACCATCTGCTGGCATGGTGCCCATCAACGGAATCCCTCATCACCCTCATGCCCATTTAAATGCCCAGAGTCATGGACAGATTCTGGGTTCAAGCAGGGAGCAAAATCCATCTTCTGTGACTGGATCACAAGTCAACAATGGAAGTAATTCAGGGCAAATGGAAGAAATCAATACCAAAGAAGTAGCTCAGAGAATCACCACCGAGCTCAAGCGGTACAGCATCCCCCAGGCGATATTTGCCCAGAGGGTGCTGTGCAGGTCACAAGGGACCCTCTCAGATCTTCTGAGGAACCCCAAACCTTGGAGCAAACTGAAATCTGGCCGGGAGACCTTCAGGAGAATGTGGAAATGGCTTCAGGAGCCTGAATTCCAGAGAATGTCAGCACTGAGGCTAGCAGGTGAGACCATATCAAATTGAGAACCTATTTTATACTCTGTGCCCTGTAAAATCACCCATTTCTACACACTTCATTATGGGGGCTTCAATGTCCTTAATTACCAAGCTGCTTTAATGTAGACTCCAAAAATATATATCACACTATAGCCCAATTAATGCCCTTAGTGCCCACCTATCGATTTCCTGTTCCTCAGTATTATTTTTGCACAGTACTCCATATTATTCAATCTGCAACCTACAAGCTTTTGTCTCCAAGCCTTAGTAAATGTGTGGGTTTAATGCAGTGATCACATGCAAGCTGTCAGTGAACTCTAGCCAGATTCCTGAAAAGGGACATCTGCAATCTCTGACATTTTAAAGAAAGGATCTTTCCTCCCTCTAGAATAAGCAGAGCTTCATCCCCCCCCCCACCCTCCTTCCACACACACCACGATTTAACCCAGACTCTGCTACTATGTGTCTAATGTCCTGTCCTGTCATTATTCTATGTGAACTAGTTGACTCTAATAAAGAAACACTGCAGAATCACACTTTATATTACCACAATTCATAAGGTTCTACTCATTACTGCCACATCACATTGAAGATTTCGAGAAAAATTGCAAACATAAATGATTGCAACATTTCTGTGCAGCTTGGACATAAATCCAAAAATAATATAAATAGCAGCTTTTAAAAATGACACTTAACCCCCATTCACACTCCCCTCGACCACCATCCTCTCTACCAACCATTCTCTTTGTCAAACAATTAATATCGATTGATCGATACATATCTGTTCATCGATAAATCAATACTTGCAGCAACGTGGGTTCTCAGTGAGTCTGTAGCAAAGTAGGACTTTCCTTAATTCTAAACCCTGATTTGTATGTTCTGTGCAAATATTGTGATTACTAAACAATTTATTATCAGATGTAACAGTGTAGTCTGGAGCAGATTACAGGTTAGACTATTGATTTGGGAATAGTCCCCTCTTTAGTGTTGGCTTTTGCTGGAAATGTAGGCTATTGGTGTGAGCATTGGTGGGTGACAATAAGGATGGCTGAGCCCAAGCACTATAGACACTTCCCTTTTTAATGCAGCTTAGAAAAGGATTCACTTTTTAATCCGTTTCGGATGACAGAGAATGAGGGCAATGCATCTAGAGCTGTGTTTGGGTTTCGTTCTATGAGATGGTTCCAATGCTATATATTGTATGGATTCTATGTCTCTATAGATCGAATTCCCCTTCTCCTCTCTATATGGCTGCGTTATACAGAGAGAGAGATGGCACAAGAGGGACAATCATTGGCCCCCCATTGGTTTAATGGATAGATTGACTGGCATTTGCCCTGGGTCTCCTCAGCCCAGTCTGCACTGTTTCTGGGTGGAAGGGGGAGAAAGGCCATTGTGTGTTCTTTTTTTTAATTTGTGTTTACAAGGCAATGCATGCTAGCTAGTTTTAGAGAAAGCGGTGCCTTATGTGAGGGTTTGTTAATTAACTGTTAAGTTCTTCATTAATGTATCCCTGGAGAATGTCATGCAGTCAATGTGAGGTGCTGTCAGAGGCGGTGATCTGCTATACAGACAGAAAGGGTAGGGCCACAACCACTTGAAATGCCCTGTGTCTGTGTGTGTGTTCAATCTGCTCTTAGTATGTATGACTCTGATAAAGATCTGCCAAGGCTGGGTGACTGTGCTGGGCTGGTGGGGGGAGATGAGGGGGGGAGGGGGGGTTCTGTTCTAGGTGCTGTTGTGTCATTCTCAGTGCAAAATATTTAACAGCCTTATAATAAACACTTTCTGTTTCATTACACTGTACACATTTATTGACTTATCTAAGTATTCCTTATGTACTTTTAAATACCAGGATTGTATTATTTGTATTAAAAATAAATAATAATAATAATAATAATAATAAAATAGAAAATTAATAACATACACCCACAACACTGAAATCCAATTAATGTTATATATGCACAGACAAATTTATTTTGGGCATAGTGTATATTTATTATCTGAAGGTGTGTGTTTGTAGCACTATTTACATAATATTTCATATTAGAATTGGTATTCTTACGTGTAACAAAAAAAGCAACAACAACAAAAACCACATGCTTGAGAAAAGCATAAATAAACAAAACAGTAAATAAAATATTGAGAATTTTAAACAAAGTATAAACTAGAGAATTCTGTAAGAGGCTCAATGTGTTCCTTTGCCAGATTCCAGTGAAGCTGAGGATTGATCAAGTCTGAGTTATCTTCCATTTGGAGTGTATTTTTACTACAATTTGGCCGACCCGAATCTCCATTTATTTACATGAATCAATAGTGGAAACAGCTGTTTGAATTAGAATGTAGGATCCCCTTCTTGGCGTTATCTGAGCATTAAATCTGCCACTCTAAAGTGTCTGCTGTAGAGTAGTTACTAACTGAATACAAATGATTTCATTGTCCAAAGCCTACTGCCAGCCATTTAAGTACCATAGCACACACATACAAACACACATATTACACACACCTATAGAGAAGCTACACCTGAAGATGTTTGGATGTGATATCATTATTTATTGACTGATTGTCATTGTTCCAGCGTTCGACATTTTTAATTTTTTTTTTTTTTACCAGCAATAGGATATCAATTTAGTAATGGAATCTATCTTAAGAAGAATTCAATTTAGAATAAATTAATAGAGAAATTAACTCTTTGATAGCGTAGTAACTATATTAAAAAAGAAAACTAACAATTTGAAAAATATTTGCAATTAATGTAGTTCCCAACAGAATTTTTTTTTAGTCGGTTCATTTATTTATTTTATTTTTTTATTTTAGCGAGTTGGTATTTATATTTTTTTATTATTATTATTTTCATTTAGTCTCACTATAAGCGTTATAGATCTGTCACTGAAGAATTATATTAAAATTTTTTTTTAACTATTAAACAAAATTATTGTAAAAAAAAAAGAAAATCGTGCAAAATCTTAACAAACCATTATTAATATGGAATGAATTATATTTAGCACAAGACATATTTTACTAGTTTTAACGCAGCCCGTTTCTTGGCATTGCATGAACAGAATAATATAGAAAATAATATAAACAAGAACAAAAATAACCTAAACAATTAACAACAAACCTCTGAAACAAATCTCTAAAAGTTGCACTAAAAAATAAATAAGAATTATGTAGTTATTATAAGTCATAAACAATGCTGGTGCCATTTTTAGTTTGACAAATCAGATTTTATTAAGTAAAATAACTTTGCATTTCTACTAAGGCATTCGTAATTAAAATTAAAAATTATAAGTTGATTGCTATTGATATACACCTTTGTCGTTTCTAAATACGATTACTGTCCGAGGAAATATAAAATAAATTCGATGCTTTATATTCTACAAATCGATTATTGTAGTGTAGTACAGCAAAACTTTGCCTAGAGTTTTGGATATGTAAATGAGTTAGTTAGTTAAATTCTTACCCACGTGTCATCACTACATTGAACTAATTTACATATCCAAACACATACACAAACACACTAATATACACTATATATAAATGCATTTTTTTTAAATCTTTTTTTTTCTGTTTTGCGACAAATACCTTTTACAGCTTTCTAGTATATTCCGGATTAAAAAGTATATTTTAAAAATACATAAGGTACTACATTGCATTCATCCAGGTTCATTATGTCAAATATCTTTATACTCACATATTGATAGGCAGATTTTAAAAATAAAATAAATCTATATTTACATTAGCTCTACACATCGACTTGCTGCACCCAATTACATTTAATTAGATTATATAATATAATAAAATATAATATAATATAATAAAATATAATATAATTTAATATAATGTAAATATATATATATATATAAATATATATATATATATATGTATATAAATATATATATATACATACAATACATACATACAACTTTAATGTATATGTGCTGTGGGGAGAAAGAGGAAAGAGGGAGAGTTGTGTAGATTTGTACATTTTGTAGATTTGTATTCTCCAATAATCAAGTTGCAGGTTGCACTCGATGTTTTTCTCCTGTATTTGTGATTCAGGAGCTTAGAGATCACTACAGTTTCATTTGTTGTGTAGGCTGTGTGTAGTTTTATTTGTAAATCCCAGTTTATCTTCCAGGAATATAATTGCATACCTGTTTTCAGTGATCTTGACCTGTGTCCTGAGACCTACAAGTCATTTTATAGCCGCCTGGGCAACTCTTTGAATTACAATGATTTTCTACAATAATTGTCCTCTATGGGTGACCAAATGTTGCTATTATGCTCACTTCCAATACACTCCTGTTCAATGCATTTGGGACATATTTTCATCCATCACAATAGGTATTGTTGTAGCATTCCGTTTAGATTTATACTTTTTGTTCTGTGCAGTATGCCTCTTCTTTGCAATCTAGGTCCATTACTTGCAATAAATGGACACCATTATCAGTCAGTGGGATTTCACCTTTGCAGAACTATCAGTGTGATTCACTGATCTGACTATTATTGGCAGATTAACAGATCTAGTTCTGTTTGTTTTTAATCTGCTATATAGCAAAGAGTTCATGTAACCCCTTTAGTGCCATTAGAAACTGCAATAGAAGTTTGCATTGTCCTACATTCCCACACACATACAAATATCATTCTTCAGTATTCAGTATTAGAATCCCAACCAGACCAGTTTAATACACTTTGATTAATCTGATACATTGTAGCTAGGGAATGTTATTTAATTTGTTTATACTCCTTTGGCTATTTCAGGGAATTTATTTCCTTACAATAATTTTATATAGGTACACTTTACATTACATTAACAGAACTATATCTTAGAAACCAAGGCCATTTTATACTAGGACAGCTGGAAACATAAACAGATCAAATAAGGAAATTGTTTGAATGAGGAAGTACAGTTTGCTAAATATTAATTAAAATGAATATGCAAAAGATGCACAAATTAAACAAATTTGGTTATATACATAGGATACAAAGATATGACAATATTTTATAATTGAAACAATCAACAGGAAATTATGGACCCTTTGTTTCCATGGAGACAGCTAAACCTTTAGAAGTTTGTTTTACAATTTCATTTTATAAATAGTCCCTTTGTGCGATCTTGCTATTTAAAATTAAGATTTAATTTAATTTTAAATCTAAGATTGTGTATTTTGTTGAATTTAACCCCTTTAACTACATATGATTTAGGATTACCTTAATACAAATGGCTTTGCTTTACCCCTGGTGACAAATAATTAAAAGGCTTTATATTATAATCGCTGCATGTTACACTACCTAGGTGAAATATCTTATTTATTTATTTAGTGAAAAGTATGAAATATATATATATAAAAAAGTGTGATAAATATATTAAAAAAATTAATAATGAAATCAAATGTAGCACAATAACATTCAAACACACTGCATTAAAAACATGTGCCATAATTTAGAAATCCTTTATTATTATTATTATGATATTTATAGAGCGCCGTCAAATTGTGCAGCGCTTTACAATGGGTGGACGAACAGACATGTAGTTGTAACCAGACAAGTTGGACACACAGGAACAGAGGGGTTGAGGGCCCTGCTCAATGAGCTTACATGCTAGAGGAAGTGGGGTAAAGTGACACAAAAGGTAAGGATAGTATTAGACTAGTGACAGTTGCAGAAGAGGAATCAGTCGGTTTATTGTACCCAGCTTCCATGTTCATGGACTCAAATTAATTTCACCCCAGAGGGTTGCTCGCTCTAGTGTAAACTTACATAGAAATTCAAGAAGAATTTAGAGTGAATTTCAAATTTTAGGCCACAATTCAAACTAAAAACAAAACTGACTTTGAGAATATTTTAAATTTGATTTTTTTTTGGGGGGGCCCGAAGATTTAAAATACACTTTTAAGTCCTAACAATTCTAAGTCCTAACTTTACAGGGTTATTCAGTAAAATGACAATTGAAAGTGAATTTTAGATTTCAGACCAGAGTACCCGAAATGGAAAAATTCTCCAACTCTGATATGCTTTTAGTTTGACTACTGTGGCCTTAAATCTGAAATTCACTTTAAATTCTCACTTTAACGAAGGGCCCTGTTTATGAAATAACCCTCTGAGAGGGAACATCTGTTTTTTTTTTTTGTGGCTCAGGAAAGAAAACTCTTAGTTATCGATAATAAATGGAACCCACGGGAAACTTGTTTTTTTTTTGTTCGTTGTTGTTTGTTGATAAGTGTGTGCTTGCTGAATGGTAATTATTATCGATCATGCAGGATAAGTTTAAAACTTGAGGTATTAACAATGGTTGAATATATTTTGGATCTCCGGAGGACCTTCATTAGTGTAAGCAAAGAGTTGTTTATTTTTGTTGCATTGTATATAAAAGCATATATTTTACCCAATGTTTTGCACTGGGGCCAATCCACAAAGGTCCATTATGAATCCACGTGATCTGCGAGCCTAATTACTTGTGCCTGAATCGCAGCTGTTTTTACTAGCTACCAAAACTTTGACCAAGTTGAGAATTAGGACAATCTGCAACCTAGTTGACTTGAAACAGATAGCTGACTTGAAGGGCTTCCACAAGCTGAATATTTAATTAAATATTGATCAAGAGGTGGTTTCAAACTGACTTTAGTGAATATATGCAATAGTTGACATATCACCCCTTTTTTTACACAGTGCAAAAAAATTATATATTTATTTAAGTTAGACTTAATGCTCTTTAGAAATAAACTTTTCAATGTTTTCGACTATTTAACTGGATAGTCTAGTACAGGGGTAGGCAACCTTCGGCGTAGTCTTGGTCTAGTAACTATCAAAAAGTAACCAAAAAGATAGGAAACTCAAACAGACCCATCTTTATGGAAAACAACTTGCAACCAAAGAGTAGTCAAGAATTTCAAGTGCTATCTAAAGTGATATGACTCCCTTGTTCTTACGTATTTCTTTTATTTTGCAATGAAATTCAGGGGACCTCACTTTTTATCTATTCTATCGATTTTTAAAAATGTATATTAATTTTCCATTCAGTGCTGCTACAGGGATCAGTATGTTGAAAGTGTTAATTCGAACTTTGTCCCAGTTGCTATGGGAATTTATTGCCACATGCTATTTTTTTTACCATTTGCAATATGGTAAAGTCCACGTGGTGGTCTGTACCAGTTGCAGCAGACATTAGTATTGTGCAGATATTAAAGGCACTGGTGAACCTTGGAAACTTGTTGTGGCTGCAAATATCTACCAGTTGCTAGTAATGACAGTTTATGACTGATATTTTCCAACAACATTGGAAATAAGCCCTTAGTGTCACTTCTGCTGATCCCATCCATTTGCCTTTCGTATTGTTTTTTATATGTACAGTTTACAATTTTTCTTTAAATATTTCATTAATTATCAGTAAGCCACTAGTTTTCTTTAAAATGAATACTCTTCTAAAAATATAAACTATTCAACATAACTCCAAAAGAACACATGTAGGTCCCACTGTAGGCCCTTCCCTTTTCCCCTGCTCATACTTAATGTGGCTGTCCAATCCCAGACTTCTCAATGAAATCTATTGGAGCTCAATGACAGGTCTCTGGGCAATTGCCTGCCTCCTGGGTTTAGCACCACTGAGCTAAATAACCAGGAAGTAACAGGGCCAGGTGACAGATTGACAGCCAGGGAGGTGTAGCAAGGTTAATTTATAAATGAGCCAATTTATAGTGAAATCTACACTTTTATAAAATAAAATAAACATTTAAAAAAAATGTCCGGTTACAGGATAAAGAGGTGTAGATTTCTACATTTAATTTTATCTTTTTACACTTTACTCGTACATATTAGATAAATATAAGAGTAAATAAACATAATATTATAAATCATTGGAAGTGACATTTCTCTTTAACTGCAGGATTGCCTACTGATAAGTTCCAATCTTATCGCGATATAACTGAGATGTCTACATTGGTTCAGGTTTGCTGAGGTTTAACCTGGCCCATGTAGAGTCCGAAAGATTAAATACTGAGTATCCTCTACAAACCTTATTCAACTGGCCTCCTAATAAAATTTTAAAGAATAAATCTCCTAACAAGATTGCAAGCTCAATCAGTCTGAAATCTAGATATTTTAATGTAAACACGTTTATCTTTTATTTATTAAATGTTGTTATACAATATTTCCATGATGGATGAGACTGCATGGACCGTAAAGCAGGCTCTGTAAAATAATTTATCTTTACCTTATTCATCTCACAGCAGCCTTCATAGGAGCCAAGACACCTTAATGACAATAAGTGATAAAGGAAACTTAATTCTTCCAGGTTCCTAAAGATCAAATATTCACCTCTACATATGCTATGACTTGTTCAGTTCTGTATTTCTTCTGCATATTTCCTTTAACCATTTGTATAACAAACACATGAGATCAATACTAGATGTACGCCAGGATATACTGAGATTGTAGTCGTTTTTCTGTAATGAGAATCACAATTCCAGACTAATTTGTGATTTAATGTTCTACTCACTGCTGTCCAATACATATTTTTGGAATTTGTCTTTTAAATTAGGCCATATCACTTGCACTGGAAGGCTGTTCCATTCAAACACTACCTCCGTAAAGTTGTATTTCCTATTGTTGCACCTAAATTGTCCACATTTTAATATTACAGAGTAGTATATTTTTTAATATTGCGAGCAGCCAAATTCTATGGAAAATGGTTACATATTCTACTTACATTTATTAACATAAATCAGGTTAAGCCAACAAGCTCAACATATTATTATTATTATTTTTATATAACCAAGCTAGAGAAAGTTTAGCAGAAATTATAACTAGAACATTGGACTGTTTTTCAAAGCAGACTTGATGATCATGGAACTAACAAAACAAACAAAAAAACAACCAAACACAACAGTACAGACAAACAAACAAACCAGTGAACAGGTTTTTTAACATGATTGCATCAAAGTCATAGACAGTTTGTAAAGCACTGTGTTAGACAATTTCAGAAATCAGTGCCACTTTTTCTACCTTTTACTAAAAAAGTGTCACAGTGTATTTACATGTATCGTTACTCTGATAAGTCCATCGCAAACACATAGTACACTTTACCTACCAATTACCATTTACCTGGAACTTTTAATTCATTTCAAATTAGTTGAAGTTGCTTAATTGTGGAGATTTATACAAATAGAAGCCTGGGACAAAATTGTCAAAGTGTTGTAATAAACGTAGAAATTAACAGAATGTTCTTATCACTTTTCTTGATTAATGTGGCAATTGCTCAAAAAATTGTAAACATTTACTATTAGAGTTATTTAAAAGGTGACTTCCAAACTGAAGTGGTTTTGATGCCTGGAGTATCATTGCAGACACATTGCAGTTAAGACTAAGTCTATCTTAAATGAAAAAAACATTGTTTAACCTGCTTGCCTGCCTCTATGCAAGACTATTGTGTCACCACTACAATATGCTCATTCATGAACTGGCTTTATATCCATTCATCAGACAAAGCATCATTGAGAAAGATGAAAATTACATTTGGCAACATGTGGTATCATGGTCATCTGAAACAACCTTCTGTACTACAAATACTGCTTAAGTTATTATTATTATTATTATTATTATTATTATTATTATCATTATATTTGTATAGCGCCAACTTCCATAGGGCTTTACAATGGGTGGACTAACAAACATGTAATTGTAACCAGACAAGTTTGATGCACATAAATAGAGGGGTTGAGGGCCCTGCCCAATGAGCTTACATGCTAGAGGGAGTGGGGTAACGTGACATAAAAGAAGGAGTAAAGACTGGGTGAGCGTCTAATGGAAAAGGGAAGGGAGTTCCACAGGAATGGTGCAGCCCTAGAGAAGTCTTGTATGCGAGCATCAGAGGTGGGAGTAGGAACAGAGGATAGACGCAGGTCTTCAGCAGAACTTAGGGGCCTAGACGGGATATACTTGTGTAGTAGGGAGAGTAGATAGGTGGGAGTAGAATTATGTAGAGATTTGAAAGCAAGAACCAGAATTTTATATTAAACCCTATATCTTACGGGAAGCTAATGCAGGGACTGACAGAGAGGTGAGGCATGGGAGGTGCAGGCAGACAGGAAGATGAAACTCGCAGATACATTTATTATAGACTGCAATGGGGCAAGTTGGGAGCACGCAAGACCAGCGGATTGCAGTAGTCAAAGCGAGAGAGCACAGTGGCACGGACCAGCATCTTAGCCGCATCTGGCGTTAAGTAGGGGCGGATCCGCGCAATGTTTTTGAGATGGAAGCAGCAGGATTTGGCGATCGACTGGACATGAGGGATGAAGCAGAGGACGGAGTCAAAGAGAACACCTGGGCAGCGAGCCTGTGTGGTGGAGTTGATGGTAGCACCATTAACCTGGAGGGAGACAGAAACAGGAGTAGCAACGCCTGAGAGAGGAAAGACCAGAAGTTGAGCTTAAGGAAGTGGGCAGCCATCCAATTAGAAATAGCAGAGAGGCAGTCAGAGACACTAGTCAAGAGGAGCGGGGAGAGATTGGGGAGGACAGATAGATTTACGTGTCATCTGCATAGAAGTGATATTAGAAGCCAAAGGAGCTGATGGGTTTACCAGGGGAGGCAGTAGGGGACCAAGGACTGAACCTTGAGGGACACCAACAAAGAGAGGTTGGGAGGAAGAGGTAGAGCCAGAGAAAGAAACACTGGGTGAAGTAGGAGGAGCACCAGGAGGGAGCAATATCTTAGTGTCAAAAAAACTATTTGAATTATACACTGCTTTACAATACAAGTTAGGGATAAATTAACTTTCTCTGACTAATATCACATAGATATTTTGATCTGACCATTAAACATAAACATAACTTTTTTTTGAATTTACACTCTATTTGGATTCCTAAATATTAAAATTTTACATTAATGTACTGTATCACATTGTTGAGTAATCCACACATTTCCTTAAATGGACACTATAAGCACCAAAGCAAGTTCAACTTAATTTTGATTTTGGTGTATAAATCATACCCTTCAGTCGTACTGCTCAATTCCCTGCCTTTAAGGAGTTCAATTACTTTGTATTTGCAACCCTAGCCACATCTCCCTGCATGTGACCTGTACAGTCTTCCTACACATTTCCTGTAAAGAGAGATCTAATGTTTAAACTTCCTTTATTTACTTTAGAATTTTCTTTATATCCTGCTTTGTTACTAGCTTCTGAAGCTTGATGGAGCCTGTGTGAGTAAACACACTGTGTTGTCATATCTGATTTGTCATGTAGGCTGTGTGAGTCACAGCCAAGGTAGGTGTGCACAGAAACAACAGTGCTTTAACTCATAAATGGCAGAGAATTGAGCAGTGAGACTGCAGAGGCACAATCTATACACTAAGACTGTTTCATTAAGCTAAAGATGTTTTGATTCTTAGAGTCTCACTTTAAAGACTAACTAGGTCAGGTTTCAGTTTTTTACAGTAGGGAAGGATATTATTTATTTGGTCATCATATGTACATCACTTGACAATCACATAGGATATGATAGAATATCTATGGAATGAAGTTCATACTTATTTAGACATAAGTAATTTGATTCATTTGAAATAATGTTTATCTGAGAAGGATAGCTATAGAGATCTCTAGACAATGTTGAAAACTTCATCTTCCTAGACTAATGTACAATTTGACATTATAAGGCAGCATTGCATTTCACATTATATAGAGATTAGATTTTTAAAGGTAATCAAATGTCATGTTCTTATGACCTTTTACCCAACATTGCAACGTTCCACATCTACAGCAATACCCATGGTTTTGTACGTAATTTGGTGAATTTACTAGATCTGTCTGCTGTCAAATGTCAATATTTCATGGGTTCCTGGTAAATAACACGCTCTTCATTTTGGTTATGTAACCATAAAATAATATTACAAAATTAACTTGGTAAAAATATTTGTGCCATTTTAGTTCAATTCTTTTTCCATTGTTTGCAATAAACTTAGCACACCAGGTGCATACTTAGTCTGGCTTAGGGTCACAGCAAATGTAGTTCACAAACATCTGGAATAGCCAAGGTTAGCTAACAGTATGACCTATTCCTTCAGTCTTGTGAGCTTTAATGCGTTAATATTATAAAATAAAATTAGGTTTTTAACAGAAATAACTATTACAATAATTTCTGAAAGTGTAGAGCTGAGGCTTCAGCATTCATGTAAATATAAATTAATTTTTTTTTTTAATTGTCGATCCATATTAAATTGGGTCTAGCCGTAACTAAACTTAATGCATTGTCTTAAAAGTGGTAACGTCACTTGTCTAGAAATGACACTAATGAATTAAACATTGAAAATCGCCTATTACTATTTATAATCATTAAATGTATATTGATTGATATCACAGTTCAGTTCGATCCAATCTAGGCACAGCCAGCGCACACATTGCTTTGCTTCTCTTTGTGTTGATTGACAGGTACAAACAGAGCTTATAACAAAAATTCACAAGAAGCCTAAATGGAGGCGCCCAGTCATAGGATAAAGGTAAATAAAGCAGTGTGATTTAAAAAAATAAATAAAATATTTTATGATTCAGTGCTCACAAACACATAGAAGCTAAATATATGGGATAAGTAAACATAAAATTAAAAAATCTTGGACAAGATGACTCCCCTTTAAAGTGTTCTGGCTGGAGATATAATAGAACCGGGTTCTAACTATATTTAAATTTTCCATAAATCTAATGTACAATTTCTAGGAGTTCTATCCCACACAGTAAATCAGCATTTCTCAAAATGTCTAATGTGGTTGTTTGACCGTAGATTAGAAGTGATGCTCTGAACTCTGCACTTATGATTAATAAGTGAGTGGAGATATCGCAGCGAGTGACCCTTTTAAAGGTCACTGAACTATATCTGGCCATTAGCTCACTTTCAGTCTTATGACTATATGCCATAATGTGACATTAAGGTAACTTTGTTAATGAATAAACACATCTGAATAGTAAGCCATTGTTTTTATCCCATGAGAATTTACTTAATCACAGAACTGTGAATTGGTTTCAAAACTCCGAAAAGATAAGCGGTGGCAGAGCCAATGTTTTCCTTTTGTAAATAATGACTAAAATATCACTCGGATTAAAAAAGCATGATAGTTGTCTAATTGTTGTCAATTTTTGATGACTACCACAGGTAGTTAGTATCTCTCTCTCTCTTTCTCCCTCTATCTTTCTTTCTCTCTCTCTCTTTCTCTCTCTCTCTTTCTCTCTCTCTCTCTTTCTCTCTCTCTCTCTCTCTCTCTTTCTCTCTCTCTCTCTTTCTCTCTCTCTCTATAAAACAGATACATTTGTATCTTGTAATACCTTTTTTACAACATTCAAATATATATTATACTGAATTAGGGTACTTTAAAATAAAATAGTAAATAGCAACTATATCAGTTGTGAGTCTGAATAAATAAAATTTTATTTTAATTAATTCAAATGTTTTCATCTAATTTAGATACGTTAAACATCCCATGATTTTTGTATTATGTTTACTTAGCCTCTGTATTTAAAATGTATATATGTCTGCAATGGCGGTACTATCACCGGGGCAGTCAGTGCAGATGCACAGGGGCCTATTGGGCACACTTGCGGCCAACCGATGGGCATCTCTGATAAGAAGCCCAGTCAGGTCCCCAGCCCTTTTGCAGTACGACTGGGCCTCTGTCAGATCAGCAGAACAGAAAGGTAGTGAGTATAGGTCACTTCCTCCCGGCTTACTGGCATGCGGGCGGGGGGAGGTTGGAGATGAGAGAACCTGGACCAGACCCAGACTCCCAAGCCTCAGCCAGATCCCAATGGATCCCTGGAGAAGCCACCCTCCCCTTGTACCAGTCATCTGTGTTAATTCCACTGATGTGTGTTTGCAACGTCTGAAAAATGAAACTAAATGATAAAATCCACACTGCTATATTTACTACCCTTGAACTAAGTGAGTCCATCTTGACTCCTTGACAATAACTCTTTGAAGCTCCTTCATTTCCCGGTTTTGAACATAATATGTGGAGGAACAATATATCTCAAAATGTGAACTATTGGTTTCTCCCAGATACTATTAACGGGAATCAGACATGACCTCTTTTGTTTCTTCTTAATAAAATTTCTCCTCTACCTAAATTTATGTTGTGCTTCTCCAAAGAATTCTTTGTGCATACCAAATCTATTTAGTTCTAACATGGAATGCCCAGTGTGTGTTCGTCTGAGCAGCTCAAATATACTGTGTGAATCGGTATAGATTGTATTAATTAAAAAGTGTGCATGCTGGCGTGGTTAGTTGGTAACCAACTTGCAACATTCATAGTAAAATAGCTATAAAGACTTTATCCTGACAAAGTAACTAAGCCCAGCCTATGTGGCTATTACCAAAAGCAGGAATTGTGGATTACTGTTAATGACGTACAAAATATCTGTGAAAATAACTATGAAAATAGTTTAACTTTATCCACATTTACTGCACATGTGTGAAATCCAGAGATATCGCCATGGGGTGATCTAGTAAACTATGAATTAGGGCGAAGTGACAAACAGAATACAAATATAGGTCGTTTTTCTTTTCCAATTTGAACATATTTGGAAATATATACATTTACACTGGTGTGACCCATTTAATTGCAGGAGAGTGTTTCATCCGTACCAGCAGAAATTAGTAGAGCAGGAAATACCAGCTATGGAAAAGAAACTCCCATCACACAAAACCATGCTTTGTAAATGAGTAATAATGGTACAATAAGGTTTGGACATAAAAAAAGATGTTATGTAATTATTGTGATATATATCTATTTATGGACTACGTTGTATTGACTTCCAGAGTACTTGCTGTGAAACTTACATATTACTAGATTAGTCATTCAATTTGTTAAATTATAATATATCGAATTTGAGAGCCAAGATTTGGTTGCTATAGCAACTTGGCCTCCCTTTGTACTGCAGGCATCGTGCACAGTTGGAGGACACAACGTCTCAACTTAACACTTTTATTGCCAGACAGGCGTGCCCTACTAACCTATCAGAAAAATTAAATGACACTCACATTTCAGGGGAACGATGGGAATAGTCTAAACAAAATGTCTGCTCAGGTTTGTATTTTACGGGAAACAAATAAATAATAATTTTCTCAATTAAAACTAGCAAAAACCTTGTATCTCAGTTGTTAGGTTAATTGAAATACATATAGAAATCCTAAAACTATTTTAAATAAGTGCAGATGTCTTGTATGGCTATCTACATTTCTAGAACTACAACAATATGTTAATAGTCATTGATATTTGTATATTTAATGGATTTTCTAGTGTCATTGTAGGTGTATCTTTACATACCTGTAGATTGACAGAGAGGTGGTTTTATTTAGAATTTCATCTGAAAAAAGTATCTTTCAAGGATGCAATTATTAAACTCCAGATATTAGTGTAATATCATGTTACCCAATGAGTACACTTATTCCTCGTTTCCAGTGAGCGGTATGATTCGGGTTGGTACGGTTCGGAAGGGTCAGAATTATCCAGCCTATTCAGACGAGCGTTTCCACTGCAAGTTGGATCGTCAGGGGTTTAGACCAAATGCCTAGCGTGTCATTTGTTGTAAGCATTGATGTTTTCCTGTCCGCCAATCAATGGAATGTATAGTGTGACGCCAGTACTTCCGCCCTAATCGTACCGTACCATTTCCTATGGACCTACATCTGAAGGGGGCCCAGGAATGGTGCAGTTTGGTTCAGTTGTATGGGCCACTTTCATAATGGAAACACTCAAAATAGCATACCAGATCGTACTGACCCGCTCAGTGGAAACGGGGCATAAATCTTTTCAAAAAATATTCAATGATCTTGTTCTTTTTATCGAATGGCATATTAGTGCTTGCTGCTGCTCTAACACTAGTCTGTAGTTAGCATATCAGGGGTACGTCAACTCAGATCCCCACGTGGTTCACATAACTTGGCTAAGTTGGTTTCACAATTTGGTTATAGGTCATGGTTGTATGAATACCCAACTTTCAGCATTTGCAACAGAAAACTGCCATTTTTCTAGTCCAGCCTAACTAACCAAGCAACATAAAGGCAGCTGTAATTGATTTTACAAGCAACTTGCCTTTACCAACTTTTTGTGAACAGAACCACAGCAATAAAAATATAGAATAAAATGGATATGCTTAATTGAAGTTGGTCGCACCCTGGTTTCATCCATAGGTGGTCAACAGAGTGGATGTGAGTGAGGGCATGTACACCCCTGAATGCTATTGGTGGCAGCATGTTTGTCAATGGGGAACGCTGTCCTTGGCAATTATGGGTTATACATATCCCACTTCCCTCCTCTGTGGTGACCATCTGGTAGAAGACATCATGAGATTTCAGGTAAGTGTATCCTTTAGTCTATATATTTCTGGTAAATTTTCAAGCACATTGGGTGTTATATGTAAAGTGTTATTCTGGGTCAAACTTCTAAAAATCGAGAAGTCGCCATGGAAACCAAAGTAATCTTTATACTGACTGCTCTAATTTTAGAATTCTGCCCTAGAAGTGTTCTTTATTCATAACCCCAAATATTTTAATTACATTTTTTTATACCTACCAGAGGAATTTTCACTTGCATCCTTTGTGGATAAATGCCACATTTTAACTTTTTCTAATTACTTGCCATTCCAGATTTTGTTATGTGCAATCTATTAACTTTAAGCGGAAAAGCAAAGTTTCTTTTTTTTTTTGCTTAACTGCATTTTGTCTGCCAGTTCGAAAATTGACCTCATAGTGCTAGACAGTGGGGAGACACAGCCATAAAAGATGTATTAATGTAGTCAGTGCAAGTTAAAAATATTTAGCTTGAAAAGCAACTTAATGTAATTTACTTTTAAATAGCTTTGCTAACAGTTAATATAAGGTTAACCTATAAAAAAAATAATAATAAAATAAATTGCAATTGGCACATTGACAAAGCTGTGGAGGTGGCCACCTTTGGCATGCATCACCAGGTTAAACTTTATACCTGCTGAGACATACTTACTATTAACAAACAAACCAATAAAAGTCTGCAGACAGCATGTGCTGCTTACAGCCAATTAGAATATCAGAGAGAATATCTCCCTTCATTCTTTGATATATAATAGTTTGCCAAGTCAACTTGTTTATTCATTAAAAAAAAAAAAAACTGAAATAGATTTTTAAATAATCATCGAGGAGGTATATGCATTTATGTTATGTGCACACAAACTTTCCGAGGACGGAGCTGCTTTAACGTTACAATTATCACTGTCAATAAATGACTGACAGCGTACATTGAGGCACCTAATTGCATTTAAATCTGTTTAAATTCAAATCAACTTGTTCTGCAAATCTAAATTATAATAAATTGCATTTAGATATTCTAATTTACATGACTAATTCATAACTTAGTTTATGCTTTGCAAAAATCAATAAAACATCAACGGGATTATAATGGTCTATCAAGGAGCCATCCTTGAAAACCCACATTTGAACGTTATCAGCCCCATTAATTTCACCTTTATGTTCAGCACACATTAGCTTGTACACACTCAAATTATTAAAGCATAGTTTAGTTGTGGTTTTCCATTGAAATATCTTCTCTTCTCATCTCCTCATTGGCAAGGCAGGATTTAAGCTTTAGGCATATCACATAAGTGTGTTTAGTTATTACGTTTCAAAGGACAATCTGTTATGTACAAATTAAATTGAGATCCAGTGTGATATTACTGAGTCTATGAATCATGTGTTAAACATTTCTTGTTACAGAGATATTTAATTACAGAACAGAACAATTCAAAATGTGTTGTGTGCTTAGCTTGCTATATTGGTATCTACTGAAGGTTTGAGTTATAGAGATAGGAAGAAAGCATTGCACAGATATCACTGTGTCACCATTCAAGGTAATTTGACCTGGGTAGATCATATGTTTATATTTGTAGCTGGGCTACTTTTTTCAGTTTAAAAAATGTTGGACTCTGGGACCTTTAAGACAAGGAGATCATGTTCGAGATGAGCAACCTCGTCTTTTCAAACTTCAGCATACTAAAGGCTGAGGTCCTCTGGCCCAGAATTCTCAACTCAGATCTCAAAGCATGCCAACCTACCGACCTTTAGGCAATTCCCATTACAGCTCAATTGAAGATATTGACAACATCCTAGACTGCTGATGCGTCTTGACAACCTGGTTGGTAACTTCTGCTGCCCAGAGGTTCTCAACTCACCATTCTTCAATGATCTCCAGCTGTTCCAGTACAGCTTTTATTGATTCCCCCAATGGAACAAATTTAGACTCTTTAAAGCAATGACAAGTGGTGTTCCTTGAAAGATCCCTATAGTGTTAGAATTCCAAAACTGTATTCCCAACACTATAATGTCCCTCTACCTCCACACCCCCTGCCCGCTTCGCCCCGACTACAGGCAGTCTTAACCCCGTTTCTCTGAAACTGCAATGTTTTGACTTGCAAGGTTAAAGGGACAATGCACTGCACCCAGACAACTAGTGTCCCTTTAAGGACTATGATTCCTTGATCTATCCTAATTTAACTTAAAGGGTCAGTTATGCCTATTTGCAAATTGCTTTTACACGAAAGAACACTCTGAAATAGGATCACATATATGTATGTGTTGCAAGATTTACTTAGTACGTGTGATTGTAGCAGGAATAAGCCCAGTAGGAGAGAGAAAGAATAATAGAATAGAATCATTATTCTGATTGGTTGTCTTGTGGTTGCATCCAATAGGAATACAGCTGAGATTCTATTAATAGTGAGTGACCAGACAATAAACTGCAGAAAATGAAAGAATAGCAATACGCAATCTAGGTCATGTGACTAAATGTTGCTCATTTTGCTTTGTATTGCACCAATAAAACCTGCACTAGTTTATGGAATAGACTGCTCATATTATGCAACTTGAATGCTCAACTATCACAAATGAAGAAGCCCTGGTAATCCTGGTAAGAAATCTTTAAGACAACTTTATAACTAAAAGCCTTAGAGGCCATAGTACTGTGTGCAGAACGAGCACCAAAATGTGCATGTCCATACAAGATTACTTTATAATATATATATGATCACAACAGATTCAATCCTAGGTTGTATCCTTCAAAGCATGTACAAAGCTTAAAATGAAGGACAAAACGATGTATTTGGCAGAAGTTTCAGATCTAAAAATTCCAGATTTCATTCCTTCTGGAGTGTACTATCTGTCAGATATGGTCAGGGTCTTAACGTCAGAAACCTTTACAAAATACAAAAGGCCAATGTAACATTTATTTTTGTAATAAAACTCAGATTAATTAGAATATTTACTATCCTGAGAATGAACAGTCAACACAATTCATAAATATATTAATTTATCTAATGAATAAAATAAAAATAACTTGGCGTTGTGATTGGTTACGATAACTTTGTTCATTAAATGGTGAGATATGGTAAAAGCTAAACGTGCAGCGTAAAGGTCAGACTAGTTAAGCTGAAAAAAATATCCAACACTCCACTATTCTTCTCTACTTGATTATTTTTCCTTAACTTTTGCAAGTTTTTTTTTTTGTTTGTTAGTTTTTTAATTTTGCAGATCAGTGACAGCATATACATAAACAAATAAATAAAATACTTTATTTTGATTCTGGAGAGAATTTAATTTGGCTCTTCTGGATAACTGTCAGCCTAGGGCAGTGATAGGATTTCTTGCATGAATTTGATATGGTAGATAAAATTGCCCATGCATTTTCACTTAATTAATACATTTAAGGTCAATTGAAATCCCATTAGTATCCAGTTTTCATTTACATTTGTCATATAAGTATCCAATAAAGGAAAATTAATATAAATTCTGACATCAGCACTGATTGTGCTAATTCCGGACAATCATGTAGATTCCAAAAATAATTTCAAAGTTGTAACGTTCAATAGGAATACAGAGATTCCCTAAAATGCATCTAAATTGCCTTCGAATGTTACCATGCAGAGATATATTCAGAGATTTCAGCTTGTCTGCTTTTTGCAAGTGCCATAGAAAAATCTGTAGACCGCCTGCTGGCTGCACCACAGGTGAATTGTACAAAGGAGAGATGTATACAAGATGTGCAAGAAGGAAAGAAGATGGAGGAATCAGGTATTTCAGAAAACAAATACCACATTTCTAGCTAATGTTTAGAAAAAAAGATAAAAAGACATCATTGCGTGTGATTCATTGCACATAGGTAGGCTTGGTACACGCAATGGTTTTGACTAATTAAAGAGATGCATTAATGATATTTTTTAATTATTATTTTTTGGTGGCAACATGTTAAGGAGCACTTAACAGTATAGAACAATAAATAAAAGAGAACGCATTGTGCACAACAGATGGAAGAATCGTATAATTAAGTTATTCTTATTTATTGCAGATTTTTTTTTAAGCTATCCTACGTTAGACAAGCCTGTATCACGCTTTTTTAAAAATTGATATTTCCAAATCTGCTATTAATTTATATTGGATTATGTGTACCTAATGCAAGAATGTCATTGTTTAGAGTGCAGTGACATAGTGTTGTCTCACTACAGCAGGAGTAGGCAACCTTCGGTATGCCAGGTGTTGTAGACTACATCTCCCTTGATGCCTTGCAAGCATTATAGATGTGAAAGAATTATGGGAGATGTAGCCCACAACGTCTGGAGTGCCAAAGGTAGCATACCCCTGTGCTAGAGCATAATCGTAAATATGCTAAACTATCATGAGCGTAATGTTTACATACGATGTAACAGGTGTAAACAAATGTAAACATTACATCTAATTTGTCCCTCCTTTAAATGAGCTGCCCACTTCTCAGTTGCTGAATATAATATCGTTAGATAAGGTTCCCAAATGATTTGTTATTTTTGGATAAACCTTTAAAATTGTAGTATTAAGATATCAAAAAATATATCACATATAAAACATACATTCAAAAAACTATTTGAATATTAAAATGTTAAAATATTTGTTTTAATAATAAGTTAAGTAAAAGTTTTTGCAAAAATGTTAAAGGGTCACTCCAGGCACCCAGACCACTTCTGCCCATTGGAGTGGTCTGGATGCCAATTCCCACTACCCTTAACCCTGCAAGTGTAATTATTGCAGTTTTCATAAACTGCAATAACTACATTGCAGGGTTAAGTCCTCCTCTAGTGGTTGTCTACTAGACAGCCACTAGAGGAGACTTCCGTGTTCAAATAACATGAAAAGTGGCTTAAAACTACGCTGGACGTCCTCACACTATGGGGAGGTCTAATGCGCGTGCGAGGCCATTGCTGCGCATACGCATTAGGTCTCCCCCACCGACGGACACGCATGCGCAGTAGGTCTCCCCCGCCGGCTGGCATCAGTAGGGGAAGAGCGTAGGCAGAGCCTGACATCGGCGCTGGACTCCGGTAAGTCCCTGAAGGGGTTTTAACCCTTCAGCAACTTGGGATGGGGGGTGGGAGGTAGAGGGGATCTAGAGGGTCCTGCAGTGCCAGGAAGATGAATATGTTTCCCTGGCACTAGAGAATCCCTTTAAATCATTTGGAAAGCTTATTCAACAATATTCAATTGGGCCTAATTCAGCTATTCCAAAGCCGTGTCATATTTGAACCGATCCTGTTGGTACAGCCATCCGTTCAAAGCACAGCCTATGTATAAACAGTTACACAGTGTAGTCATGCTATCATAATGACATCCATATGGCATCAATTGAAACAGCGATGAACAGCAGATTAAATTCAAGAGGAGAATACACTGTGGAGGTCCTCAGGAGCCACAGACCATCATCAAACTGTGCAGACCTCTGAGCCCCCAACTAAAAGCCCACGTCTCAGCACTTGACACCCTGAAGTATCCAGCATGGCTACCTAGCCCTACTACTATTTTCTATTAACAAATGTCTTGCCCTCCAACTACAATTATATCAGGGACCAGACCCCTTTTGCTGTTGTGGTTCCTAATAAAGTGCCTGTCTTGAACCAAGGAGTGCCTGGACCTCTATTACTTTACTAGGGGTCTGTTATCCAACAAGTGTCACCCACATTATTTTGCATCTCTTTGAGAGAGTTGGGTGAAGTCCATATGTGTGTTGGCAGCCATGTAGTTCTGTAGAGGTAAGCCAGTAACCTCATATTTGCTTGAAAGACACAAATATCTCAATGTTTTGAAAAAATAGATCCTATAAGATCATCATGTTCTGAATTTCAGGAAATGAGAAGGAGACCACTGGACCAGAATTAGAGAACGTGAGCTCCACTCATTTAATGTTAGCCTAAATCAGGGACAAATAGCAAGCTGGATATCTAAATTAATGCAATACGAACGTCAATCTCTAGATGGGATTGGTGAGGCACATTGATCAAATTGAATAACAAGCCACAAGAATTCAGGCCTTGGATGATGAATGGATCTCTGTGTTAACTACCGCTTTGGACAACCAGAGCAGCTCATATGAGTATCAATTTATTCAGTACAATATCGGGATTACAATCTGCCTAATAATCAGTAGACTATTTCCAGATAGACTACATAAAATGGAGATGAAACAAGTTCTGTAATAATACGTCCGTTCAGGTCTGCATAGCCTCCCTCTCCCCCAACAATTAAACATTTATTTTATTAAAATAGAAAAACAATTGTTTGAGAAAATGTCTAATATGGTCTATTGTAGTACATTTTTTACAGCAGCATCTCTTGAAGAGGTGTATCAAACAATAGAAGATGTATGATTTTTTACAAGGCTGTTTCTTACATGACTGCAGTTGTAGTTTAGCCCTGTATCTAAAAAATGGAAGTAATTCTTATTGTGTATGCTTTTTAAAATGGTTATAAACAAAGAGTTTATGTAAATTTCTATCAAGAAATCATTATCTTCAAAATATGAGATTAACAGGACTCTATATCATAAAGATCTGATATAATCCCCACCTCCCCCGCTAGGTGGCCAAGGATGAAAGTGAAAGTGCAAATAGTTTCACACAGAATAACAAAATGAATGCCCTACTAAATGCTTAATTCAAAATGTATTACAATCCCACAATGCTTTGTTCTTGGTACTAAACAGCTCAGTCAGTGGCAAAACACTGACAAAAATAGCAACAAGCGAAACATAAAGACAGTAATGCAATATTTTGCTTGAACCAGTATTTATGAGGCAATATAATGTTGGGTACAATAAATGATTTGGAAGAAAAAAAAAATCCTAAGAGCTTGTCTACTAAAATGGGAATTGTGTGGAACTGGCTTCAGAATTGCACATATTTGGAAACATTCTGCTTCTCGGTGATGTTGACTTAAATTCTGCAATATCCTCAACTGCAATGCTCACAATGTGCTTTAGTAAAAGCAACCATTAGTTATTCAATAAAAGACACAATTGGGCAGATTAGATGGGCCAAATGGTTCTTATCTGCCGTCACATTCTATGTTTCTATGTTAAGACAGAGAACCAAATCACCCTGGCCTGTTCACCTAAAGCTGGGGTATGCTACTTCTTTAAGCATCTTCATAATTAATTTGACTAGTGTTTATATTACGTAAATCTTAATAGATTCCATGGTTACCATTTTACTACTCAGTCATAAAGTCAGTATTGTGTCAATGAAACCTTTAAAAACACAGGGAATGTATGAATAGTAATTATTTGAGAATCTGTTCGACAATCACTGGCAGAATTCCACTTATTAACTCTCACGTGGTTATTTACTAAGCCGAGAATTCAAAGTGAATTCTAACTGAATTTCAAATTTAAGGCCGGGGTAGCCAGACTAAAAGCACTGCTCACTTAGAGATTTTTTCCATTTTGGCAGTTTTGATCTTAGATTTGCAATTTGCTTTGTATTCCCTTTAAATTCTCTCTTTATTAAATAACTTATTTTACGGCTCATGGTGATATAACGCGGTTGCTGCGTATCTTGTAAGCTGGTCTTTAATTCTTGTGCTTACTTAAGAGTATGAGGGAAGGCAGTTTTTTCCCCTTAGTTTACTGAAGAGCAGTTTCAGCAATATTGTTCCAATGATAAGGAAACAGATAGAGAGAGCCATTGCTGAGAAAGTCTTCCACCTGGTGAATGGTCTGTTGTCAGTTGTCCTTGTGGCCTGATTGATTTATAGCCCTGCTACATTTGCTCAGGTTAATATTTATCTAAATGTGATACAGCAGTAGGAGATATTTTCAAACAACATTCTATGTAAACTGCGTTCCCTTACAGACAGGCAATGGAGGCAAATTGTTTCATCCTACAGTTATTACTATTATTATACACAACCAACACAGTCAGCGCTGTACAATAGAAAACCCTAAGGGCTAAATCATGTGACTTATATAATGCCGACACTTATGCAGTATGATGGGGGATATAAATATAGGGTTAAGTCAATGTGATCAATCAGTGGCAACATTCCTTTGGTTTCCACGATGATTGCCTTTTTTGTTTTAACAAATTAATTGAGTGTATAATGATTGCTATTTTTCATTAAATGAAATAAAATAAATAAAAAATCTATATTTTTAACATATTATAGATTAAACTGAACTATGTCCTCTCTATTCAAAAAGTAGGCCATTCATTTTGGCGACTGCTTATATCTTACAGTGCAAAACGCCTCACCCACTCTGTCAGTCCCTGTTAAAGGGACATTTTAAACACTGTAATGGTTTTGGTGACAGCTGTCCCATGGTAACCAGTCAAAACATTTTCAGTCTGACACTTACCTGAGTCCCTCTGGCACCTGTGGTCCTTCTTTCATTCTGAATATTATTACATTGGGTGTTCCCCATTTCTTAAAATCCCTATTTGTCCCTATTTTGACATCATTGATTGGCTGAAAATATCAGGAATAACCCTTCTCTTTAGCTGAACTTCCAGTTATAACCTTCCCCCCAAGAAAACTAATTTATGGAGAACACCATCAACATTATACATTTCTGATAACATGGTTTGGAAGGTTGAGAGGCAAAATGAGCCACTCCAGTCTATATGACTTTGACTCCTATTCTCAACAAGTAGAAATTATGTTATTAGTGCATTTCAACACAAAGACTGTCACAAGACTATCATCGAAAGTAGTTTGAGGCACCAGAGTAATGCACTGCTTTATATAGTTATTTTTTTTTTATGTGTGTAGTTTGTAAATCTGCAATGATGTTGTTTTTTAGACGATCATAGCTGAAATTCTCCTTTTTGTCTGCCATACCCTGTTCCTACCATTAAAGGGACACCATAGTCACCAGAACTACAGCTTATTTAATTTGTTCTGGTGAGTAGAATCATTACCTTCAGGCTTTTTGCTGTAAACACTGTCTTTTCAGAGAAAATGCAGTGTTTACATTACAACCTAGTGATAACTGCAATGGCCACTCTTCAGATGGCTGTTAGAAATCCTTCCTGGGTCATGGCTGCCTAGAATCCATCCAAACATTAAGTGTCTCCTCCCTCTGCAAGCAGACACTGAACTTTCCCCATAGAGATTCATTGATTTAGTGCATCTCTATGAGGAGATGCTGATTGGCCAGGGCTATGTTTGAATTGTGCTGGCTCTGCCCCTGATCTGCCGCTTTGTCAGTCTCAGCCAATCCTATGGGGAAGCATTGTGATTGGATCAGGCTACGACTTCTGCTGATGTCAGCAGGAAGTGGGCAGGTCTAAAGGAAACCGGGACAAAATAAGCAGCTGCAGACTTGAATACAAGTAAGGTTTTACTATATTTAGGGAGGAATGAGGGGACCAGGGTGGCTAGATGGTGGTTTTAACCCTATAGGGTCAGGAATACATGTTTGTGTTCCTGACCCTATAGTGCTCCTTTAACTAATAATCATGTGGACAGTAGAATTATACAAAGTATCTCTATAATATGTCATTTGTGAATAATTAAGACTTTTTTGTTTAAAGTTTTTTTGTTCTTTTTGAGTCTTCCTGGTTTTAGCGTTCCCTGCTGTGTGCAGGTTTTTTTGTCCCTTTTTGCTCTGCATTAGGTTTGAAAGAGCGATATAGTATTTGGACTAGATTTTGACATGGGGAGTTGATAAATTGAAATGAACTCAAAGCACTTATTTGTAATGTACATTTGTGGATTCTAAATCATTTAATAAATAAATGCGAATTACCATTTGTATAACAAGTAGAATTTACTGCCTATTATAATTCAGGGCTGTATGCCTTCCATTGGCATGCAATGAGCTCTCTACATTAACTGAGGGTTTCTGCCAGACATCATACTATACTTGCTGCATCTCATTTCATATTATACTTGCTGCACCCTGTTGCACATTTCAGCAATATTTTTTTTAATACAAATACTCTAATTTCTCTCAACTCTTTCACTTCCAGAAATGCTGTAATGCATGAAATACTGCAATAGAGGTTGGGGTGGTGGGGGACATTTTGTTAATATATAGTTGTCTGTTTCCTCTACAGTTATTTATGGTGACTTGAGGAAAATTTGCAAAATTTAGGCCAAAGTTGCAACGAAAGAGATTATATCCAAATTAGAGGAATTGAAATTATATCCATAGCCTCCATTTAGGACCTACATTTTGCAAGTTGGCATACCAGTCATTACAACTTGATGTTTAGTAAATAAACCGCGTTGGGTTTTATTTTCTGATCACCTGACATCATGTTTCTGCTGAATTATAATATAAAATGTAACAATTTGTTATCACCATTTTCTCTGGAGTTTTTTTTACTATATGGTAAGTCATAGTGAGTTGACAGCTGAATCACAAACTACAGACCAAATCAGAGTTGGAAAAAAATCTCCAATTCACTTAAGTTGGTGATTTTTGTTTTTTTACAACTCTGATATTTGGCCTTAAATTCATAAATAGGTTGTCATCGGCTCTTCGACTTCCCGTTTGGTGAATAAACCCCTTTATGTTTCAATTTTATTATCATTTTTGGGGGCTATGTCACCTTGATATTAAATGAAGATGTATGTTTTTATTCTTTGACACTCTTAACGTTTTGGGGTAAATTGTCAATCTACATTTTTGCAATATGCATTAACTGATTTGTTTTAAAAAGGTGAAGTCTATTATTTAAATTATTTAATGTCTTTGCTAAACTAGCTTTGGTACCCGCCGATCCGGTTTTTCAGCACTCCGGACAGTTGTCTGCAGACTCCCTGGTTAAAATCGGCTATCCATCACAAAGCTCCCAGTCTAATCATATGTGTGAGTATCAATGCATTTCTTGAGGCAATATTCAAGACAAAAACTGTTTCATCTCATAGCCCAAAATGTTTCCAAGTAATATTTTTCTTTTTATGACTATTGCAAAAAGTTAATTTCAATTAATATGGGGAGAACTGTTTTAATCAATGCTCAATGTATCAATTCTGGCACAACTATCGTTTACTATTGTTTAGAAGGAGTCACCTAAATGTTGTATATTTCTTTAATGTACTGTTTAGACATTCTGTAATTGCAAGTGTGTTTCTATATCATATACTTTTATTAAAATAGTGTGCTATAATCTATCTGTTATAGTGGCCTGAACTGTTACTAATTCAATGTATTTGCAGTTAATGTTCCAACTGCAGAATTTGCAGTTCCTGTTAGAACCTCAATGCTGAAGGTTTGATTCCTGGCAGGATCAACTCACATAGTTATTTGCTAAAGTGAGAATTCAAAGTGAATTTACAGTGAATGTGGCATTTAAGACTAAAGTGGCCAAACTAAAAGCATAGCTGATAAATAATTAATTTTTTTTATTTTAGTTATTTTGCCCTTAAATCTGAAAGTCATTTCAAATTTTCACATTAGAGAATAAACCTGTCAGTCTGTCTTCCTCTTGAGGTTAATAAAATAATGCAAGATTATTTTCTATATTATAAATCAGGGATCTCAAATTCTGGGCCCATTTGTGTTAATGTGTGCAACTCCCAGAATTCTTTCAATGCAATAGATGGCCAGAGAATCATGGGAGTTGTACGTCAGTCTGATGTAAATTGTGAATTCAAATTGAAAACATAGCTGGCTTGGAGAGTTTCACATTTGGCTACTGTGGCCTGAAATTTGTTTACAAACTTTTTTAATACAATAATTAATATGTAACGATTATCTGTTTTCCATTGCAATGTATTACACCTACATGTTAACCGCTCACTGACAGATAATTTCATATGTGATTTACTTCCAGGGTACCCTGCTGTGTTTTGGCTTAATTTAACTTTGTTTTGTTCCCTTTTGCAGAAATAGGAGAATTAGAATATTGTTATTATAGATAGTACAATATGTATTTAACTTGTGTGATATTCTCTATTTAAATGTGGTAAGCACGCAAATCCTATTTATTGATCTTTCTGCAGTCAAGTGCTTATAGGATATCTATTAATGGATAATCTGACAGTGAGTAAAACTTTCTTTCCCAGGGTAATCAGGTGAAGCACATGGTACATCACTTATATTTGATATGGATTTTCATTAAAGTGGGAATTGATGTGAATTCAAAGTGAATTTCAACTTTCAGGCCAAAATAGTCAAATTAGAAAAATTCTCCAAATAAGCCACATCTTCAGCGCAGTTTGGCCTACATTTTGAAATTTAGTGTGAATATCTTTTAATTCATGTCAGTTTCCACTTTAGTAAATAATTCTATGAATTCACCTTCCTTTGATAGCTTGCTCATTGTCACCATGTTGTGTAGGGTAAAAATAATTAGTTCAACCCATCCAGATATTAAAGGCACTCAGACCACTTCAGCTCAATAAAGTGGTCTGGGTGCCAGGTCCCTCTAGTTTTAACCTGCAGCTGAAAACATAGCAGTTTTAGAGAAACTGCCATGTTTACATTGTAGGGTTAATCCAGACTCTAGTGGCTGTCTCTCTGACAGCCACCAGAGGCTGCTTCAGTGATTTTCAGTGACTAAATCGCACTATATCGCACTATTTGATGCTGGACGTCCTCAAGGAGTCCAGCGTCAAGGAAAGCATTGAGTAATGTTTTCCTATGGGCGGTTTGAATGCACTGTGGCTGCGCCGCATGCGCATTCGACTCCACCCGTGAGCTGACGTCGGCGGGGGAGGAGAGGTCACCATCGCCGAGGGAGCCCGGCACTGGCTTAAGGTAAGTGGCAGAAGGGGATTTAACCCCTTCAGCCCAGCGTGAGGGAAGCCTATTAACCCTATAGTACCAGGAAAACGAGTTTGTTTATCTGGCACTATAGGATCCCTTTAAGCCTTTGTCTGTAAATGCAAGTAATATCTCCTGAACATTTGCAAAGCTGTTTCAATCCTCCAACTAAAATGACATCATGTATTTAATTTGTATGTGGTTTACAATGCATTGTTAAAATTTTAATATTACTATTATTATTACATCACAAAATTAACATTGTCATTTATAACATATTCATATAGATGTTAAGTGAAACTTATACGTGATACCAGAAAAGGATGCCAGTATTTTGGATGTATTGGTAAAATGTTACATAAGAAGAGTTACTTACTAAAGTGAGAATTTAAAGTGGATTTGAAATTAATTTCTAATTTAAGTCCAAAGTAGTATGAGAGCATAGATGACTTGAAGAATTTTTCAAGTTTGCCTATTTTGACCTTAAATTTGAAATTCAGTTTAAATTCTCTGAATTCTTTCTTTTAGTGAATAACACTGAGTCAGATTTTAGAAACAGCACAACAACACAGCCAGTTGGTTTGTTGGCCCTATGTATTGTGAATGCGACAAAATATTACTTAACGTTATAAAATATTGATGAAGTCACAAATTTGTTCATTAAGTTAATTTGTTTGTTACAATTATTTCACATACAGTAAATTAAAATACAGCTGCAATGATTGCATTCTAATTACTTTGGATAGGCTAATCTCCACAACATTAACCAAATTGTTACTTTTAATTTCAGATAATATGATAGACCCTGGTCCTTTTATTTCGTCTCATTCAATAACACTAAATGATGATTCATTTCTGTCAAGACAGATGCTAAGTGATAAAGGTGATTTTATTAGAAAACCTCAAAATGAAAGTTATGTATAGCAAAAGACAAGTTAATCATCGGTTTAATCATTTAATTAATTAGAACATTTTCTGGAGACACACACACACCCACACATTGTACATGTATATAAATGTAGGTACATGTAGGCATAAATTCATTATCTTTCTGAAATTGTTATATTTGTATTTCATTTGAATGAATATATTTAACTTTTTTAATTGGATTAAGAAAAATGTTGGAGCAACACGCTTTCACACATTACTAGTAAAGCCAATTACTACCAAATCTTCAGTGTTCTAAAAGCCAGGGTTAGCACAACAGTGGAAATGCAAAAAAAAACAAAACAAAAAAAAACCTTAACCCCTTAAGGACCAAACTTCTGGAATTAAATGGGAGACATGACATGTCACACATGTCATGTGTCCTTAAGGGGTTAATTGTGGTATATTGCCATATTTTATTTACTAGACTAAATGTAATGTTGAAATAATAATTGTTATGGAGTCATTTTCTTCATCAGCTCAAGATACACACACACACTATATATATATATATATATATATCAAACACACACACACACTATATATATATATATATTATCAAACACACACACACACACTATATATATATAGTGTGTGTGTTTGTAAGTATTATCAGCATGAATATATGTTGACATTTATTGCACTGCCTCTCATTATGGGTTAGGTGAGTAGGGTGGTTTTAGAGTTCTGTAATGTGCAAGTTAAAAGTTGGGAGAAAAATCAATAGGAGAGTAAGCAGACGGCGCCATACATACATACCCAACTGATGGCCAGGCAGGAAAGGAAGCAATCAGGAAAGTTCACAATTTGGCACGTCAATGCAGTTTCTCTGTATCAAAAGGGGGAGCCTAGTTAACAGCAGGGAAATGTACTACCAGAGCAAAGATGCATAGCACTCATCAAATTTTCCCTGACGATGTTAGAATGATATGCAAATCTTTCATCTCCACAAATGTATACATAAGGTATTATTCTCTGCACCAGGCCTAAATATAACTGTCTATCAGGATATATACACACACACCATATATATATATATATATATATGTATATTTATGTAAATCAGAACAAATGTATAGCACTCTAGGGTCTTTGTAGAAAAATTAAAAGCTAACTTTTTTAATTCTATTAACATTTCAATTTTATAATAAAAACTTTCATCAGGATTTGATCACTGGGCCTAATTTGTTCTTGCCAGTCCTCGTGTGCAAATCATTTGGATGTTCACACATATCTATATGTGTAGATATATATATATATATAGGCATCCAAAGAGGTAGCAGCACTCTCGGAATTTAAAAGTTCTAGTCTTTATTAGTTCATATTAAAAAAAATCACGACCAATGTTTCAGTCCACCAAATGGGACTTTCCTCAGGAAAGTTTGATCCTGAGGAAAGTCCCGTTTGGTGGACTGAAATGTTGGTCGTGATTTTTTTTAATATGAACTAATAAAGACTAGAACTTTTAAATTCCGTGAATGCTGCTACCTCTTTGGATACCTGGATAACCAAGCCATGGCTTAGCACCCGGCACACAAGGGATATTATAGCGTGAGTGCAAGAAATTCTTCCCTTTTCTTTATATATATATATATATATATATACATACATACACACTGTTCATTTATTTATCCCTAGCTATAGCAGGAGAACTTCTATTATTGTGTCATTAATACCAGTAAAAATATTTTCCAGTGACATTTCTAGGTTTACAAACTAATGGACTTTAACCCTTCTTTAAATAGTATTCCAACTGCGTAAATTGGACTGATAATCTCTCTACAGAAATAGGACTGAAAAAAATAAAAACAACAAATGCAAAAGCTCTCGTTATACATGAATTATTGGCATTGTATATTGATTTGTTGCATCGATTTTTCTTAAAGATAACTTTGCAGACATACAGTCTTTTCCAAATAGAACGCACAGGGCAATATAGTTACAGACTGATAATAGATAGCTCTTTTACCCGGAGTGCTACTTACAACACAATGTGGCGCCTTGTTATCACGCAAGAGATAAATCTCCTTGGTCTTATTAGCTTACTAATGGGAACAATGATCTTACTTAAACAAAAGATAAACCTCTAATGGGACATTGCTCACCCACAGAGTACACAGAGGGTTAATGTTGTAAAAGTTGACTTTTAGCATTATAAGAAGTAATGTTACTAACTGCAAAGCATGAAATGAGATCGCATAGGACTAACTAGTGTGGCCTACAGGCTAATACCTGCTCTGATGAATCTAATATATTCCACTTGTGCCTTTACAGAGCAACGTGTTCTCTGGGTGACACGGATAGGTCCGGCACCAAATGGTGACGCAGATTATAAATTAAGGCAAATAATAGGGTTAAGTGTTAGTGCAGAATTGTTCTAATTGTTTACTCATTATTACAGAACATTGGGTTTTGATAACAATGGACATCCAAGTGTTGAGTGACTACAAATCCCAATATTATTATTATTGTCATTCATAACGCTCCAACATATTCCGCAGAACTTTACAATTATAAAATAGGGTTTTTTGGAAATAAGTAATTTACCTACAAATTGTAACAGAGACAAGAGGTGAAGAAGGCTCTGCTCAAGAAGCTTAGAAGTAAAGGGGAGTAGTAATATGGGTGGCAGTTAGAAGCAGAGGTAGGGTCAAGAGATGGCATTTTTATGACAATTGCATGTTTGAGGGAAGAGTAGACAAGGAGAGGTTGAAAGTATGCATTAGGAACGGAAGCAGACTAGGGAAAAGAGACTGGACAAGGTGAGAGGGGAAGGGATTAAGAGAGCATGGTGGGGTAAGAGGACAAGATAAGTTTAGAGACCCTTTATCTCGGAGACAGGGGGAAAGGAGTTAAAAGTGGAAGAAGGTACAGAAATGGAAAGGGGAGGAGGAAAGAGCATTGCTAGTTTGGTTGATCTTTTCAGTAAAGTGACATGCAAAATCACTAGCTGTGAGCTTAGTTAATGACAGGGTTGTAGTGGGGCAAAGAAGCGAGTTAGAAGTTTAAGAGGCATTTGGGATCACAAGAGTAGTTGATAAGAGTGGTAAATACTCTTGCATTGCAAGGCAAAGAGCAGAAGTATAGGAACGTAGCATGCATTTGTAATGTAGGAAGTCAGGTGTGGCGCGAGACTTTCCCCATCAGCTTTCTACAGTATGGGAAAATCGTTAGACGAGCTTGCTATGACAGGGTTGAAGGTGTGGCTGACACCACAAGTGAGTTTTGATTGGTGAAGCCATATCTAGAGCAGTAGACAGGACAGAATTGTAATATGAGCTGGCTTTAGAGGGACAAGGTAGAGTTGAGAAAGTAGAAAGTAGAGACTGGATAGAGGAAAAGAACTGATGTAGATCAAGTGAGTTTAGGTTTCTGACAGCCCGAGATAAGCTAGGTTTAATATGTTGAGTTAGGGGCATATTGACCGTACAGGTTTGAAGATGGAGGTCAGACAGAGGAAAATGTGTGTTAGAGAAGTTAGAAACAAAGCAAATTATGTGTGTAGGGGGGTTGATCCATTTAGTAAGGCAAAAGGAGAAGATGAACAAGGTGCAAAGTTTGGAAGGAACAGTGAGGGGAGAGCAAAAACCCCACACCGCCACCCTTAGCATCGCATGGCCTGGGGGAGTGGGATAAGTGCAATCCACCAAAAGATAGGGAGGCATGGGTAGCAGTGTCAGATGGAGAGAGACAGGTTTCACTCAGAACCAGCAGGTTGAAGGAGCAGGAGATTAGGAGCCTGTGAATGAGAGTAGATTTTAGGGTATTACAGACTGAGCGTGCATTCCAAAGGGCACAATAAAAGGAATGCAATGAGTGACAAGATTTTCAGTTGTTCTGGTGAAGCTTTTGATAGGGTGGGAAGCAGGAGGGTCAGGATTAGGAAACACATTTTCAACTGCTAAAAGCAAAAGGATGGCCAGAGGAAGAAGGTGGTACGGGATTTGAATGTATGTGTTGGACTTTGGGTTTTAGAGAAGGGAGGAGAGGACAAGCACATATGTAAAAGGTGGCATGGGATGAAACAAGGGGTGAAGGAAGTAAAGTAGGGGCAATAATGCACTATCAAAAAACATCTTCCAGATCTTGTGTTTATTTTCTTTATATCGGAGTTTTTATGTTACTTATTTTAGAACACAAACTATGAATGGAAAATATGCGTGATGAGGAAAGTATATTAAAGTACCCAATTAGATGCTTAGTTTTACAGGGGGTAGTTTGTTCATTGCTTAGGGTTACATTTATTCATGGATTTAAGGTCTTCTAGAACAGTAGCTGAAGATACTAATTGATCTAATTATAGCCATAGATTAACTGGAAATACACAGTTATACGCGTAAAGATGTACATAGACATTGCAAGCGTTTATAACACCACAAGTGTTACCATTGGATATTTCGACTATAAAACCATATTCACATACAGCTAAACACTGCATGCACATGTAAAATGGGTATCGTAGTTATTTCACTCTCTAATCTATATACATCTCTTACTCATAAATATAGAATGGGTGCTAATAGCACCATAGGCGTGCACAGCCTATTGCATTAGGGTGTGCACCCTAAAGCACAAGCACACGCCGCGTATATATATATGTATGTATGTATATATATATATATATATATATATATGTACACATATATACACACACACATACACTGCTGTGTGTGTGTGTGCTGTGTGAGGGTGCTGTTAGTGTGATGTGTGTGTGTGTGGGTGCTGGTAGTGTGCTATGTGGGTGAGGGTGTTTGTGTGTGTGCGCTTGTGATGGTGCTGTTAATGTACTGTGTGTGAGGGTGCTGTTTGTGTGTGAGGGTACTGGTAGTGTGCTGTGTGTGTGTTTGTTAGGGTCCTGTTTGTGTTTGTGAGGGTACTGTTAGTATGCTGTGCGTGTGAGGGTGCTGTTTGTGTGCTGTGTGTGTGAGGGTGCTGTGTATGTTTGTGAGGGTGCTGCTTGTGAGGGTGCTGTGTGTGTGGGTGCTGTATGTGTGTTGGTGCTGTATGTGTGTAGGTGCTGTGTATCTCTGTGGGTGATGTATGTGTGTGGATGCTGTGTATGTGTGTAGGTGCTGTGTATGTCTGTGGGTGATGTATGTGTGTAGGTGCTGTGTATGTATGTGGATGCTGTGTATGTGTGTAGGTGCTGTGTATGTCTGTGGGTGCTGTATGTGTGTAGGTGCTGTGTATGTCTATGGGTGCTGTATGTGTGTAGGTGTGTGTATGTGGGTGCTGTATGTGTGTGGGTGTCTGTGCTGTGTATGTCTGTGGGTGCTGTATGTGTGTTGGTGCTGTATGTGTGTGTGTGGGTGCTGTATGTGTGTGGGTGTTGTATGTGTGTAGGTGCTGTGTATGTCTGTGGGTGCTGTATGTCTGTGGATGCTGTATGTGTGTAGGTGCTGTATGTGTGTGGGTGCTGTGTATGTGTGTGGGTGCTGTATGTGTGTGGGTGCTGTATGTGTGTAAGTGATGTGTATGTCTGTGGGTGCTGTATGTCTGTGGGTGCTGTATATGTCTGTGGGTGCTGTATGTGTGTAGGTGCTGTGTATGTCTGTGGGTGCTGTATGTGTGTAGGTGCTGTATATGTCTGTGGGTGCTGTATGTGTGTAGGTGCTGTGTATGTGTGTGGGTGCTGTATGTGTGTGGGTACATTACTTAATATCCCCCTTACCTTCTTACTTTATGTAGGGGGTGGGGATTCTTGTTCCTTGCTGCCTTCCCTGGTGGTCCAGTGGAGGTAGGGGCAGATTACTTTATATCCCTTATGTAGGGAGGGGGGATCCTTCCTTGCTATAGTGAAAAGATGAAAGGTAAAAGCGCACACACAATACCAGAATAAGGTTACCTGTAATATATACAATTATGATAACCAATAGTAGATGACTATTGGTTATCATAATTGTATATATTACAGGTAACCTTATTCTGGTATTGTGTGTGCGCTTTTACCTTCCATCTTTTCACTATATCTTGGTTTTTAAGTATATGTGGTGACAATATACTTTGGTATTTTAGCTGCACCTATTATTTTCCTTTAAGCGCCACCCATATTATTTATATTATCCATCCTTCCTTGCTGCCTTCCCTGGTGGTCCAGTGGTGAGTGAACTCTAACCTGCGGGACTAGAGTTCACTCTTGCGAGATCTGAGCGTTGCCACGGCGGGTCCTCTCCTGCCTCCCTGCCTGTGGGTCGGTGGGGAGGGAGGCTTAGAGCAGAGCCGGCGCTCAGATAGCGCCGGCTCTGCATGAGCCGACAGGGGAGATCCTGAGATCTCCCCTGCCAGTCTCAATACATAGGCATGCCGCGGGGATTAGGGTGTGCCCAGGCACACCCGGCACACCCCGTGCGCACGCCTATGAATAAGACTGTAAATATTTATTCAGGTGTGTTTAATGTGTGTGATTCACAAGTATGATGTATACGCCCATTTAATATATGTAATATGTGTAATGTGAGTTATGCATGCATTTATAATGCAATATTGAAATGAAAATGATGCTAGTTTATTGTAGTCTTTACATCCTATTTCTCTTCTCCTTGTTCTCCTTTTTCCCACCACTTACCAGCTGAGTTTCCCCATTTCATTCATTATCCGTCTGTCTCTTAGAATAAATTCCTGTTTCCTTACCTCTCCTCTCTTCTTTTTCTCTCTCCCCGGACTCTTCACTCTAAGCTTTTCCATCATAAGAATCAAGGTTTATCTGATCTCTAAACTCCTTACCCATCCATACCAGTCTTTGCTTATCCATCTATACGAATCTTTTCCTCGTATACCTATGTCTATTCCTCTACTTACCTTGTTTGCTAGCCCACTCTCATTCCTGTTAGGTTCCACTTCCTCTCTCACTCTTTTCCTTCACTGTGTATTCTACTTAGTCGTTTAATTCTCCTTTTCTAAAGATAGAATGGGTAGGGGAAATGTCAAAGTCAAGAGGGCACCAACTCTTGAGTTCCAGCATGTAAAGAAAGCAGTGTGCACCTCTTGCATGCATAGACAGAAACTTTCTGTATTATTCAAAATATACCAGGAACTATACCATTGCATGGAATATGGTGTCATGTCCTGCTTCCATATCACTTTTTCCTTTATCACTAGTGAGGCAAAAAAAGTACTGAGAGTTGTTTTGCCTGAAGAGTGGCAGGCTGCTTTCTCCCTTAGATTATCGAACTGGTTCAGGGAAATGTTATTATCTCTTCTGCTGCCAGAATCATTTTGCAGTTACCCCCTACTTCCTTAGCTGCATCACACATACAGAAATACTCAGCTGTATTTCCCTAGCACAATCCCTTGTCTCACTCTATCCCTCTTCCTTGCCCCGAACACGCATATTACAGGTTTATAAATGCTTATTCTAAATTCACCATGGACCTGGCACAGGGGCTTGGGCTTGAGACAGCAGCCTCAGCTGAAACATGTTCACCTGGCTCTGGCTATGCCCAGGCTTTTCATATATTATTAAAAAATGTTGAGAAATCTACAAAGCTACATACTCCATAGCTTCATGTTAACAAAATACCTACAGAAAAAAATCCCATAGGCTTCCGTAAAAAAACGTATCTACTTGCAACCCTACTATACAGTATCTCCAAAGTGACGTAGACTATCCAATTGATGGTTGCCATAACCAGCATGTTTTGGCTCTTGGTTCTTGTTGTTTTAATATAAAAACATAGTTTGTGGTCACAATTAAAAACCAGTGAACTCATCTAGTATGGTCATTATAATGGCCCTAGCGCTACAATATATGTGTATGTCATACAATATGTAATATTATCAGTTAAATACATTTGCTAACATTTTATAAAATGCTACTTATCGGGCTTACACTATTTCTAATATGAGGTTTCCTACTTTCTATTTTAGCATGTAAACGGAAAGATCAAGAACACAGCAAAGACAGAGGGAACACGCCTAAAAAGCCAAGGTTGGTCTTCACAGATGTACAACGGAGGACACTACATGCAATATTCAAAGAAAACAAGCGCCCATCCAAAGAATTGCAAATAACCATTTCCCAGCAGCTAGGGTTGGAGCTCAGCACTGTCAGTAATTTCTTCATGAATGCTCGCAGGAGGAGTCTAGATAAATGGCAGGATGAGGGAAGCTCGGGCAGCACATCATCTTCGTCAAGCACGTGTACCAAAGCATGAAGGGAACACAAATTCCCCAGAAACTAAACTCTCGGTGAAAAAGCTTTAAAACAAAAGACATGGACCTCAAAATTGCAGGTTTATACTTTAGAACTATTTGAAAACCAAAATTATTTATAAGTTCCAAAGAAACCAAAGACTAATTTCTCCTGCATGGTGACTTTTATTCTTAGGACATTTTCCAGGAGAACAACTCGCAAAAAACAAACAAAAACAAAATCAAATAAAAACAAAACAACAAACCAAACCAAAAAAAAAAAATAAACATTGATAATGAAACAAATTCCACTGGCCTTACACCTTCAGCCATCACCATTATCCTCACCGTAATTTTGCTGTCTGCTGGTTTGGACCATAGTGATCTCTTGTTGTTGAATGGATTTTTTCTAATTGGGTTCTTCATTACCACCACACACTTACCATGAAGGTGTATGGTGTATCAGTACTTTATACAAACCAGTGGTAAGGGAACTTGGTCATAACTTGTCTACAGGATGGGATGTGGTTAGACCAACCAATCGTCTTAGTTTATTGGAACTGAGTGTATTTTAACTTGTGCTGTATGAACGTAGCAGTTCCAATATTTGACTGTGCAGTTCAAGCTGTTGGCTGGCACCTAGACCTGTGCATTCTCTTTGTTTGTTAAGGGTTGTATATCAAATACAAACACAACAACCTCTCCCACAAACAAGACATACAATACCAAAGAACATACTTAATAGATAAATCCAGGTGTTTTATTCCAGTGTTTTTAATATTCCAGCGATATTTTTACATAACGTATGAAGAAGTGTAGTTATATATTATTCTAATTTCTTACTAAGAAAAAACATGCATTGTAAGTGGACTGTTATTTGTAAGTGAACTTAAAAATAGTCATTTCTGAAAAATCACAACTCTCCGCAAGGGGAAAAATGTTTGACTTCAGCACAAAATCTTTAGAATTATAACATTTATTTAACATTGATTCTCCTAAATAATCTTATTTGAAATGTTTTATTTCACATATTTTTTTTCAGTCAGTCTCGAATTATAATTTCACAACAATCAGTCATTATTTGGGGAACCAATGATTTGCAAAATTATTTTAAATTAATACAAACTTCAGAAGCTCCCTCTTAACATTCCCTGCATTATTTAATGTGTTTGAATCAATAATATAACAGTATAGACTAGGATCATGCAAACTACTTTCCTCCATTTGTTGTTGGACAGAAACTCACAGCATTCTCAGTAAGCATTGACTGATGGCTGGGATTATGAGTTGAAGACCAAGAACAGTTGGAGGGCTAAGCATCGATTGACCAGGCCAAATATTCCTAGCTTAACCTCTTGTCTCTGATTGCACATCAACAAACACAAACCTGTTATTGACGAAGATGGGTAAATAAAACCAAATCCTTTTTAGAGATAAAGTTTGCCATGCATTCTGGACAACATATTTATGCCCTCTCCCCGTTTCAGTCCTCTATGAATAATTATATTTGTTTCCCCACATACCAAAGTGAGATGGGAACTGCTCTAAAATTTCAAGTTTTTGCAATTAATCTTTTTGGCCACTATATTGAATTCTGGATCAAGAGACTCAATATTAAAAAGTCCTTTAAATAGATATGCTTTCTGTTGATGTACCAAATCTAGTCCATCTTCCCCTATGCCCACCTATTTACTAATTCCTCCATGCTTCACCTATAACCACCTATTGGAACTGCTTGAAGCCAATCTACATCCCACAACACTGAATTATTAGGGGAGTAAGAACAGAATTCTAGTTAACGTTGGGTGATGGATTCCAGGTGAATACAAAAGTGATAGCCTTGTTTTCTCCTAGTATATGCTAATGTATTAAACGTCACAATTGTTAGACATTTAGCATAACTAAGGCCTCGATAAGCTTTTGCAAATGATTCAATACCGTTAGATAAAAACTTCAATGGTGACTTTTGTAGATAAATAATTTAGAATTTTTTTCTAACAGTATTGAATCATTTGGAATGTTTATGAAACCGAGGCCTAACTAGGGATTAAATTGAGATTAAGCAGGTCAAAAAAAAAATAATGTAAAAAAAAGAAGCTTCTGTGACAGTGCTGGTTAATGCTTGACCAGTTTAAAGGGATATGCAGTGCCCCAATATAAGAGATGCCAAGATTAGCCACTGCAGACTTAAGGACTTGGGCCTTAATTTTATATTTTATGATACGCTTTTCAAATGACAATAATCTGTCATTAAACACTGAGCTGTGATGATATGGCAAATGAGTAACAAGTCAATAGGAAGACCAAAATCATAGCAGTTTGGAGATACTTTCCAGCTCGGTTATTTTGACATATATTTTGCAGCTTTGGTGATCAGTGACCTCATTATGGCCTCAATTTAATTCATTTAAATTGATTCCATTCTGTTAGAAAAAATTATTCAAATAGCTAATCTACAGAAGTGAACATTAAAGTCTATGGACATTTTTGTAGGGAATTCATTTGAAAAACTAATTAAATAAACGCCTCATATAATAAATCCCTTTATAACATAGCAGTAGAAGCTCTATGTAAACTTGATTAAATTAAAAAAAACCACAGAATTTATAAGGAGAGGTTTCTATCTTATAAGATCTCACATTTTTAAGGATAAGACGTCATTGTTTGACCTCATCTTCTAACTTTTTAGTTTACTTGTATATACATAGCTCATCATTGTAAAGTCAGATGATTCCTAATAATGGACTTTTTTTTCAGTACTGTTATTTTGGGTTAAATATTACCAGTAGATTCTCAAGTCTTGTAAACTAGCAGTTAAGAGGAAACAACCACCTATACCGCCCTTTTATCTTTCAAATTCCTCAGATATACCAAAAACAAGTAAAATTGCACATATAAGATCATATTATAATTTGGCAAAACCAGCCATTATTTTAATATTATTTATTTTTTTGGAAATGTTGCAAATACTCCATAATTTTGAAATAACTTGCATGTAACCCTCCAACTGTTTGCTTATACCAAAGAGTTCTATTTCTGTAGCAATGACGTTGGTTGGGTACGCTTTTGCAAGACATATAATTAACCAGGCATGGTTAATCAATGCACAACTGGCTTACACATGTATGACGACTAGTCATGGCCAGTACTCATTGTCAATATTTTATAAATAAATTCTTGTTTTAGGGAACATATTCCTGTTTATAGTTGTTTAGCAATTAGACAGCCTAAGCATTGCCATCACCTAGCAAATGCCACTGGATATATATATATATCTATATATATGTAGATATATATATACACACACCTGTCTTTCATGTGTACAATCTAATTTTAAATGCCTTTGAATAAGCCAAATATTTTGTATTTGTTTTAATTTTTATGCATGGCCATATCTGAAATATTCTATCATTTGGGAAGAGGGAATGTTTTTGCTTATTTGCATAGGATGGTTTTGACCTTACTGTTTAACACTGCAACCCGTATTATACCAAAGAGTCTTAGGACACTTCCACTCAACAGAGCTGGAATCGCAGTTACACAGTACAGTCCCTCTTTTCTACACAATTGAAAAAAAAAGAAAGAAAAAAAATCTATGCATTTAGCAAACAAAGAGAAAGCACTTCAGCAGTTTTGTCTGATTAGCGTTTATGGTGCGTTCAAATCCTATTATAGAGGTCAGTTGGATTTCATTGTACTGGCCTTCTAGATTATTGTGGGGTGGTTAGCTTTACAATACATATGGTAGCTATTTCCTAATACTGCGACAAAGAAGCAAAATTGAGAAATTGCTGCTTCCACATGTAAAAAAAAAAAGAAAAGTGTAAAGATCTACTATTTAAAGTGTGAACCAAAGACGCTACCTCACTCAATTACCATTTCGTGATTTTAATCACATCGATGATACCAAAGAATACCAAAGATTTTTTTTTCTTGCACGGCCTTCGTCTGCTAAAGGCACTCAGAGACCTTTTCCTGACTCCTGACCCATGACCCCTGACCTCCATAAAATATAACTTCTCTTTTTTTCTCCCCCGAAATATTATAATTAACCCCTTCAGGGTCAGAGGTGCCACATACACCCTTGAGACTGATGGGGTCAATAGCAGAGAGAGACCAGATGGCTTCACATGATCAATGTCTGGCTCATCATTTCTCCTCGGTGATGTTGCCTTAAAAAAATTCTACTATTACTAATATGTATATTATCTTGAACACTCAATTCAAACTCTTAAAGGGACACTTCAAGTGTTTGGGCTTCTCCAATGTACACTAAAGCGTTAAAAAAAATGTTGCTCAATATGTTCAAAGTTGTTGAGATTTTGCATTTAAAAAAAACCTGCATCCTTAATCCATCTCAGGTTTCTCACTTTTCAGAATACGTTTGTTCTCGATTTTTCATGTCGAATGCTATAGAGCTCACTCACATACACTGCGAGTACAACTGGCTCCTCATTTATTACAAAAATGAATGGTAACCACTAGCTCAAATGAATGGTAGCCGCTGGCGTCTTCCATTAATTTCAACAAGTGGTGCTCATTTGTTTATTTTTTTAAAAGAGTGATAATCCACTTGTGATCGCATTGTGAGTGGGCATCATTAGAGCATTCCCTATAAAATACTATTGAGCTTTAGTAAATATGACATTTCTTGCAGACACAGACTCACTAAATATCTTATAGAAAATTATAAGAGACCAAGGATTGGTTGGGAGATCTCAGCCAGTTCCTGGTCTAATAGAAAATAAGAGATGTTTTTTGGATCCTTGTAGAAACATAGACAAGAGAGGCATCTAGAAGTATTTTATTTAACGTAATGAAATGCATTAAAAATAAGAAGGTAAATTGACCTTGAGGTGTCCTTTCAAGACTTTGTGTCAGGAGCAAGCAAGACTAATTTTCAGTATTTGCAAATCATTCCACATAGACATAGATTATGGGCATAAAACCAGGTCATAATCATTGTCCAACCATGGTCATCTGACACCTACTGGCCAAATTAGAACACTTCACACTAAACCATTAACAGTTCCCAGATTAAGCAACGCTTTAGGCAAATATGTTGCAAACTTTGTAAACTCGTAGGATGAGTGCCTTGCTTGAACCAAAGTGTTAAACCGCAGTTGACCTCTTTGATCTCACCTTATGCTCTTTGAATACCTCAGCCTCTTAGAAAGGCCACTAATTAAATAATAATACTAACAAGAAACACTTCTTCACCGTGGTGCTTTTGCAATGCAACCATGCAATGAACCTTTCTTTTATACCAAAGGGATTTATTTTTCACACTTTTAGCTGATGAACCAAAGTTTTAATCTTTGCTAGCTTTTAGCAGCCTGCTCTCTCTGCGCCTGTCCACATGGCTCCTGAGTACCTATTTGCTTGGACGTAGGCCGTGCAGCCCTTATACCAATTCCTCCAAATACCTCATAATAGAAGAAATCTTTTAGGCTTATGCTGTATAGAGAATATACGTGACAAGACAGAATTTACTAGTTTGGTAACTGTTAACCTCCATTCAAAAGCTTTAGGATATTATTTATTTTGTATTATTTTTATTATTAATAATACATTTTATTTGAGTCGCTTTTTTGCTCTCTAAAGCTTTTATCCTCATTCTCCCCCCATTCTTCTACTACAAACAAAGGGTGTTGGGTCAGGACAGGTTGCGGAAATTGTACTGCAATGAAGATGGCTCTTTTTTTTTTTTTTAAACAATGACACTTTGGGGGTTTTGTATAAAAAGTGTATTTTTTTCTGAAAAGTGGTCTAAAGTACCAAACGTTGGGCAGTCACCATGGAAACCCAGTGGAAACAGTTGGTGACTCTGCCCCTTTTCCATCTTTGCACCACTTTTCAGACTCTTTTTACACCTAAACACCACTGTGTTTGATATTTTATGTTGGTTTTTTTTTCCACAGGGTAAAACAAAGACAAACATTGTTCAATGTCATAAATGTCCATTTATGTTTTTTCCAATGTGCTGTGAATTTTTGTTTTTAATTCCGCTTATTTAACCTTTGCTTAATTTATGACTGTAGTTTAAAAAGAAAAGCTTGTATATAGTAACATTTTTAAAACCAAAGCATCACATTACAATCTTTAATTTATCTGCTAAGAAGCAATGAAGGAGAGATGAGTTTCTCTTAATCGTGCAGGGTGTATAAAGTTAAAGTAATCTTAGCAGACACTTCGATGTGTGTTTTAAACACTGCCAGATTGTCGAGCCTTGTACTTACTAAATATGAAGACTCAAGGTATTGTTCTAAAACCAAAAAAAAAAAAGTCATTTGTATTTATGTACATTTTTTTCTGTTAATTTATTTCTTAGGGGTTAGTTTGTGGGTCTGACCCTCACATTTAAATAATTTTTCAAAATGTTGTTAAATGTTAATCAAGCACTGGCATTTGTGAGAGTCATTTGTTATGAATTAATTTGTTTATGTATATATATATAAATGTATAATTTGCCATAAGCACGGGTATTAGAAAGAAGCGGGCGTTAAACGTTGACGACAAGCTAACTTGTGTTTGGAAATTCGCTCAACTTTATAAATAAATGGTCATTCTAAAGTGAATTTGTGAAATGTACAGGTGGTACGCACACATTTATGACTAGGCCATTCATCTGATTGACTCATTCATACGTTTAGTTACTAAAGGCAGCTGGACTGCCAACTGCTGTAAGTCAAGTGTTTTGTATACCTGTGAGACACACAAAACCAATTTGAATGTTTCTGAATTACTTAGAATATGTGTTGACAGGAAACCATGTATTTTATTTTTTCCTTTTTTTTTCCATGATTACTGGAATATTGGGTTTCAGATGTATCATATGTGCCTGGACCCACCACTATTATATAGTAATGTAAAATTGATTTCCTGTGTGACTGTGTCTTGTGTTTGCTAATTATGCAGACAATGCAAGGCACATTTAATGTTCTACATCAGTTTGCCATCACAGTTAGTTTGATGTCAGGAAATGAAATGAAATAAATTGCATTGATGTATCTTTTATGTTTACCCATTCTTCGCTGGAGTGATCTTAAATACTACACTGGATAATACAATTTAGGCCTACTCAACAAGGAAGGGGTTCAAACTATAATTCTTTTGACTTTTTAGTAAATGGAAGGGGGTGCAATTTTTAATTGGACATGTTGACCTACAAAATGATTGACCTTAAGATTATTTGATGGCCATATCAATTATCATCATCTTAGTATAAAACTTAAAGAGACACTGTAGCCATTGTAAATGCTTCATCTCATTGAAGTGAGTATAGTTTTTGGAGTCCCCTGGCGCCAACCTCCCATTCAGTGTTAAGTGGTTAATGGTTAATAATATGATGCTAAACGAGAGTCTCGAGGTGCTGATCCCCTCTGTGTTGCATGGGCTAATTAGGCAGCATTAGCCTGAGGACCAATGGTGTCAGGTAACGGCCATTGACCTCTTTCAGCCTATCACAACACCCATTACTGGTATGAATTAGTATGACTATGAAACAGTGTAATATCTGCCTTAGCCATACCCCCGGTGGGAGACAGTATGTAGACAGCCATGGAACATCAACCAGTATTCATTTTTTCAAAAATGGTTTTACAACTATAATGACCCAGACAACTTCATCTCAATGCATTGGGTAGGGTGCAGTGGTTAATGTTCCCTCTAATTTCCTTCCTGTTAGAAAACTACGTGCACACGGAATGCTTGTGCAACTGGAAACATGAAATTGTTTCAACATATGTTTGTCACGTCCTTTCTGTCTGGGCTGTTTTGGCATGTTTTAATATGATTTCAAGCTATGTTATTATGCCCACATGCCATAATGCCTAGATTTATTTTAGTTTGCCTCCATTTTATTATGCCCACATCTTTGCCACAATGCCCACATTTAACCACTTTGCCTGCATTACCTCATGAATCTGCGATGTGCTCCCCTATGCGCGTCACACAGCGATATTCACTGAGCAGCACGGTGCATGTAAGGGAGTACAGGCCCTGCTCCTGACATTTGCTCACATAAATTTGTCATTTTCACTACAATTAAAACGGGTATACTCATGCAAACACTCACACCTTACAGGGAACAGTGGCATTGACCCTGCTATTTTTCTCCCAAAATGTAAAACCTTGCTGTTTTTAAAATAAGACAATGTTCACATTGCAGGGTTAAACACACTTTTAGTGGCTGTCACCCTGACAGCCACTTGATCATGCTTCTGCACCCACAACCAAATCAAATTGAGTTCTTTGAAGATCTATGTACTGCGTGCATGAGGATCTCCAATGTCTTCTGATACTTCTCATAGAGAAGCATTAGATTCAAGAATTTTACTAGCTGAGAGTGACACTTGGCACGCCTGTGAGAAGCATTAGATTGGACGAAAAGTCAGCATTAAGACAGTACATCAATGTTACATTAAACTGGAGTGGGAGAGAGGTCACTTTAATGGCAGGTGTCCTGTAGTCCCGCATAAAAAAGCACATTCATTGCAGGACTATACTTCCTTTTTGAACTGAATGGAGGTACAGTGCAATGCGACTTCAGGCACTATAACTAATTCAATGAGATGTAATGGTTATCATGCATAGAGTGTCCCTTTAAGTTGAAAGTGATCTTTCCTATCAACCTGAAATGTTTCACAACAGGGGTTAATGGGAGTTGAAGTTCGATTTGTTTTAAACAACCAAAAGGACACAACCTGCAGCTATTTTCTATTACCATGCACAATAACTTTATTTATAGTTTTACGAATAAAGCCAATTGCAGACTGTACAGTTTTAGGGAACTGGCAACCGAACTACAACTTTAGAGTTTTATGGGCTACGTTCAGCACTCTAACTAAAAGCTATGTGAGTAACATCGTTTGATTAGTCACTGCCTGGATTAGCAAATGTTCCCAACAGCATTTGCAAATCCACAGGAACTTCAGTATATATATATATTTTTTTTATTATTATTTTCATTTTACTGGCAAACCTTTTTAAATGTATTAAATTGTATAATACATCAAAAAGAGGATCGATTTAAATCTACAGTGTCCCTTTAAATTGATGTCAAATGAAAATGCATGTTAGCATTACTTTAGTTACAACATCTCACACAGTAAATTCAAAATACCAAATCTGACTATAAAGGAAATTGCTCTACAAAAGGACTGGATGTCTTTGCCAAACAGTTGATTGCAATGAAACATTTCACCCCCTAAAACAATGCTTCAGATTAGTTTTTGAAATGTACAGTTTAATTTATTGTGTTTTTTTGACAGTGTTTAGTTCATCAATATCTGAGGAATCAGTGTTACCAATGTGTCCAAACGATGACACAGTAACCAAAATAGATAAATCTATCAAAAAATATGAAAATAAAGCAATGTTAAAAAATGCAAAAAATAAAGCAATGTTAAAAAAAAAGTCTAGCTCTCTCTGAAAACCATGTCAAGTCATTTCAACCGGATGACGTATTTGCAAGAAATGCTCTTTTCAAATCCTATATTGGTGGAGGCTCTGGAGACATTGTCCACTTTCGGATCTAAAGTGAACTCTTGATAATTGTGTGTCCATTATAAAGAGTATGCAGATTACTCGTTGAGGGTAACTGCACTCTATATAAAGAACCATTCTAAGAATGATCTGAATATAGAGTTGGTCTATTCCATCACTAACTAAGTCTATTCCTACAATATTCAGATAGATTGCCCATTTTTTAATCTGGGAGTATGTTTTCACGCCTACACATGTTCAGGTACAATGTAGAATTTGAGACGGGGAAGCCATTCATAGACACACATATTCAATAGTTTGACACGTAACTGTGCAATGTAAACATGTTGATCATTATTTACATCTTCGATATGAAAAAATATCTGACCTCTTACAGTACAAGTGGTAATGCAAGCAAACAAAAAGTTGGGAGTGAATACTAAAAAGGAAAAACATTTGCTCCGAGAACGTGTCATCGGGACTACAGGATGGTAAACTGGCCTCTCTTGGAATTGACTATGTATTCTTTTATTGCAGGGTAGTCTGGTTACATGTACAGTGGTACAAGACAGACAAAAGGTGGCCTTAATGCTACATTTTGGGTTTTTATAAAAAATACAACTAAATTATATAGGAAATGATGAGCTGATGATTCTGCCATTAATTTCACAAATTTATTTTCAAATGGCTCATAATGGGACGCACAGTTTGTAAATCACAGATGGAACTGAAGATCCAGGAAAAACAGTTTGGTGCCATCTACTGGAAGTACAACAATATGGAATAAAAATAAAAAGTGAGATTTTTAAAACAGATTTATTTCAAAGACAGCTATGACTGGAATAACAAGCATTGCCATTACACTGTTTGCATGAAAAGTCTTTTTTTCCAAAGTTAGCTTGCCCGTTTTGCTTAAGTCCAAATAACACCATCACGCCCAGAAGGTTTGTATCGAAAGAGGAGAATCTTTATGGTCAAAAGAAGTTCCTACATTGAGAAAGAAGAATAACAGTCAGAGGGTCAGTATAGCTAGAGCAGTGTATATTTCCTGTTGAATGGCATTTAAATATTTGTTTCTTGTACATATCTTTTGAATGCCAAATATTTTCCAAAACAAATTAAAAGGGGTCTGATGAGATGAATTCCCAGCAATTCTCACTTTAGTGAATAATGAGATCCTTTATATACATCATGTGAAATTCAGATGTGATAAAATCAGGATTATATAATTGTTATGATTTGTCCCTCAGTGATTTTCCATTTTTTTTTTTCGATTTGATTATATTTTATGGCCTTATAAAAATTTTCACTTTAAACAGTGCACTGTCATCTGCTATGTTTTCCAGACTTAACAAAAGTAGAATAGAAAAAGAGATGTAAAATTTTTTTTTAAAAAAGAAACCACAAAAAAAATGAAAGTGGTCAATCATTCTGCTTAAAAGGATCTGCATTTGTGTAGTTACGAAAATAAAATAGTAAATAAATGCTGGGTTTTCCAGCACTTTAAATTTCAAAGAGTTCTTGTTTTATATTTCTAAATAATGTTTTCTTAAATGTGTTTGTGTTTTTTTTAACAATGGTGAGAAGATTAAATTTATGTTTTTTTAATATTATGCAGCTTTGGTTGCAATGGATTTTTGAAATAAAGTGTTGCTTGTTCATGATAGTTTAATACCGTGTATTGTTTTTCAGAATTCTTGTAGAAGTGAGAATGAAGCACAGGACATGATTCAATACATGGACATCCTGGCAGATACGTATTTCAGAAATATTTATTTTAATGTTTGAGGAGGACAGCTTGGCCTTAGCACGTAAGGGAGTTTGCTATTCTGGGTTCTTTTACATTTGGAGATTTGGATATGGAAACCTCTTAGCACACCTCTTCACCCCACCTCACATGCAGTGGTGGGAAAGGGTTAATGCAAGAGGGGGCCTAATCATCAAGATTTCCCGAGTTAATTAAGGGTCCTGGTAACCCCCATTTATTAATGTTCCTGAAGTTGAGAAGGGACCAATGTTTTTTGTTTACTTTTTTTTTTAAGACAGAGCAAGTTTTATCTTCTATCTTGATGTCCTGCAATACTTGTTATTAGTAACGTTGGTTGGACGGCTGTACAAGATTGTGATAATCAAAACAAATATATACTTCAGTACCCTCACTCTGCAGTTGGTGCTTTATAAATGCCAGCATGAAATAAATAAATAAGCAGATTCCTGTTTGGAGTAACACACTAAAATTAACATGGTGCATATCCCAGACTCAAACCCATACTTATCTGTAGGCTTAACCACTGTATAGCAGGAGACACAAAAGCAATGGAATACACAACCATTTAATATGGAAGAGGAAAGGCAATAAAGCCAACCATTTTAATCCCTAAGGAAGACATAGGTATGTTTGTTGTATGAATGTACACACCACTTGCTCCTGCACCTGTGTAAAGGCCAACTCTAAAACTTTCTGATTACGAAGGTAAAATCAACACGTTTAGAAGGCCTCACTGTCCTCTGGCTAGGCCCAAGAAATCGTACAGTCGAGGTCAAAGGTCACAGGGGTACCGCAGCTCAGGTCACTAAAACCTAGCCCCTTAAACCAAATCCACACAATGGATTCACTCCCACTAGAACATAAACGTATCATCGTTCCATAGAATTACCCCTTATTACCCCTAGTGCATCTCCCTGAATCTCTCCCACATCCCTAAAGAGCATCTTACCAATCACACACAGACACACTCATGTGATGCGAATCCAATCCAGATAGGTTTGTTTCACGTGGAGAATGAAGCGAGACCAAGTATTGCAAACAAAGGTTAACTCTCTAAGGGTGGATCTTTATTAATGTTGCTATAGGATTCTTCCAATGTAAAACAAGAAATCAGTATGTTAAAGTGAGCTCTGAGCATTGGACAAGGACTTATACACCTACTAAATTTTACGGAATTACTGATAATATCTATCAATCTAATTGGTTCTACTTATCTACATAAAGGATGGTCTAAGATATTAAAAATTATCTCATTGACCTAACAAAGCAGATATGAAAATGAGCTAAAATCAGTTGGAACAAGTCCAAAATTTAGTTGATTTAGCATAGTGTACGTATGTGGCAGGCATGGAAAAGAGTTTCTTATTAGCAACATGGAGTCGGCATTTTTAGTTATCCCAGTTGCTTCGAAATATTAGAGCAGCAGAAACTTAACCCCTTAAGGACCGGACTGTTTTTGCGATGTTGTACATTTGCGACCAGGCATATTTTTACACTTTTGTGGTGTTTGTGTTTGGCTGTAATTTTCGCTTTCTCATTTACTGTTCCCATACAAATTATATATTGTTTTTTTCAGGACAAAAGGGGCTTTCTTTACATACCATTATTTATATAATCTCATGTATTTTAATTTAAAAAAAATACAAAAATCTGATGAAAAATTGAAAAAAATACATGTTTTTTGACTTTTACTTGAAAAATCTTTTACTCATCTACAAAAGCGAATGAAAAAAACTGCTAAATAGATTCAAAATTTTGTCCTGAGTTTAAAAATACCTAGTGTTTACGTGCTTTTTTGCTTTTTTTTGCATGTTATAGGGCTATAGGTACAAGTAGGATATTGCGGTTTCAAAACATACATTTTTAAAATTTATCAATAGTGACATTGTAACACTATTATCTGTCATAAATCTCTGAATAACACCCCACATGTACATATTTTTTTTAAAGTAGACAACCCAGGGTATTCAATATGGGGTATGTCCAGTCTTTTTTAGTAGCCACTTAGTCGAAAACACTGGCCAAAGTAAGCATTCATATTTGTTTGTGTGTGAAAAAAGTAAAAAAACTAAATTGAACGCTAATTTTGGCCAGTGTTTGTGACCAAGTGGTTACTAAAAAAGACTGGACATACCCCATTTGCAATACCTTGGGTTGTCTTCTTTTGCAAATGGTATGCCATCATGGGGGTAATTCTCATTCCTGGGCTACCATACGCTCTCAAAGGCAACGTAACAACCTGGCCATTTTCAATGTAAAATATTTGACCCATATATTTGACCTTGTAACTTTCAAAAATGCTATAAAACCTGTACATGGGGGGTACTGTATTTACTCGGGAGATCGCTGAACACAAATATTAGTGTTTAAAAACTGTAAAACGTATCACAACAATTATATCATCAGTAAAAGTGCTGTTTGTGTGTGAAAAATGCAAAAAAAGTCACTTTCACTGACAATATCATCGCTGTGATATGTTTTACTGTTTTGAATCACTAATATTTGTGTTCAGCGAAGTCTCCCGAGTAAAACAGTACCCCCCATGTACAGGTTTTAGGGTGTCGTAGAACGTTACAAGGTAAAATACAGTGCTAGCAAATTAAATTCTCTGGACTTTTCGGCCTGGGTTGGCAGGCAGGTCCCTCAAATTGCAATCAATAAAATTACTTAATTATGTAAAAATATTACATAAATACGCACGTAGAATTTAAATATATATGCATATTTATATATTTGAAGTCTACGTGTATATTTATATAATTATTTATGTAATTTTGTATATGGACGTATGTATATTTCTTATTATTTTTATTTATTTTTATATACATAGATATATATACAAATTCATTCTAAGTGTATTTTGATATAAATATATATATATATTAATTTTAAAATACAGTTAGAATAAAATTTCATATAGCTATATAATTTTTTAAATTTTTTTTATTATTATTTAAAAAAAAATTATTTAATTTAAATTACTTATTATTTATATTTTATAATAATATATATATACAATATATATAGTTATTATATATATTATATATATACGTGTGTAATTTAATTATAAGTGTATTTATATATTAATATAAGTACATATTAATATAAAAATACACTTAGTATGACATTATATACATATGATATATAGACATATATTATATAGATATAATATATGTCTATATATCATATATACACATATATAATTATTTATTTTTTTTTATTAACATTAACTTTATTTTATTTTTTGATTTTACACTAGCAGGGAGACTGCCTGTCAGCACAGACAGTCCCCCTGCAGGCAGACACTAGGACACCTATTGTGACCATGTGATCGCTGTGTTAAGCGATCACATGGCCACAGGGGTCCTAATCTGCCGTGGGGAGACTGTCTGGGCTGCAGGCAGTCTCCCCACAACCGGAGCCACGCTGATCGCCGCCGGGGGAACGACGGCGATCAAGTAAGTAGCTCTGACCGTTAGGACGGTTCAGGACCGTCATCGGTCGGCAACGCAAAAATGCCGATGACGGTCCTGAACCGTCCTCGGTCCTTAAGGGGTTAATATTACACTCTCAAACACATTTACACACGTACACACACAGACACACCTCCATACACACCCCTATTTTTATTTATCACATTGACACACAAAAATATTTAGTTACCACATTGCGTCCTGAGGGCCACACTGAGAGGGATTGATTTGTGACATCATAACCCTGTACCCACCATAGAGCTTTGAAACTTATCTGTGTAGCTGGAACAGGTATATTAATCATCTCTCAATACCTCACCAAAAAGAAGGATATTTTAGAATAGCCGGTGGCCATCTGGCATGAAGAGGGGCCGCCTGCTGCGGGGCTGTGCTTCCCTTCAGTCAGGGAAGTTTCCAGTGAACCCATTGGATCCAGGTGGGAGATGGAGGTGGTGGGGTTTTTTTTGTCCCATCTATGTATTTGTGCCATGGAGAAAATGTTCCTTATATTATTGGTAATTAGAGCATAGATAAATTAAAGGGAACAATATAATATTTACTGACATAAAATGTAGTGAGCTTCTACCAGGAGCTGTAAATAAAAAAGATATCTATAAATGTGTGCTGGGCATATTACTGGAGAATATCAGGAATTTTTGTATGCTACTGTTTATTGTTAAGGATATAAAATAGAAAAAATCTGCAGTATAACTTTTACGATGGTCTATGTTATCAAACTAATAAGTCTTAATAAGAAATGCATCACTTTGAGGCAATTGTCTCATTCACAATTTTTTAAATATATTTATCTGCTTCTAGTTTCCTATAATTGCCCCACCCACTCCATGAAGGACACTGAATCAATCAGTGTCCTATCCCTAGGAATGCAGTAAAAGTGCTCTGGGCCTTCCTGACAGAGTCACACATGTACAGTTGGAAGATATCTTCACCTTGCAACATCTGCAGAGGGGGAAAAGAGAGAGAGAAGAGTCTGAACAGTGTGATTCATGCAGAGCAGGCTCCAGTGTTGGTATTCTATCTCTTGCTGCTGCACAATGATGTCCTTTTTCTGTACCTATTTGACTGGTGTGGGCTGGGTTCATCTGTAGCAAGAGAGGGGCTGGGAGAATGTCCCCTTGGCGTGCCCAACAATGCAATCTGACCAAGTTTTTAGTAAGTTTATAAACATTTAAATGTCATACTTTTCAATGTTATTATTGCTTTATTTTGGTTTACATATTTGTTGAAAAGTATTTGCATACTGGTTTTAAAAATATATCAAGTGATACATGTCCCTTTAATGGGCATGACCTAAATATATTATCCTATTCTTTTAAAATAGTTGTCCATGCGTATTTTGTGTAGCCAATGATTAATATCATAAAATAATACAGAATGCAGAAGATATGACCTTTGTTGTAATGAGCTCAAGGGATTAAGGTTACAGGAAGCCCTGGGCCAAGTATAGATTGGGAGCGTCCAATTATGTTTACCCACATAATTATAACATTTCCCACTGAGTGCATTAATCTTGTCTAGTTACAGTTCCCCATTTTTTTAACACTATATACTATAAATGCAGAGGTATCTATAGTGTATGATTTTCAGAAGCAACGGTTAAAAAAAAAATAGTATACTTATTTTTTCTTACACTGTATTTCCTGTGTTCAGTGTACAAGTAGCAGTTTATTTTGTTGCAGAGAAATGTTTGGGTCCTCGATGCTGATACAAAGATCAGAGTTTATTTTCCTGTATGTAACAAATCTCAAGGGGGAGGTGACATAGTGGAGGTTATAAACAAAGACCTTGGAAGTAAAACAAAGGATTAACGAAGAAGATAAAGCATAGGCAAACTTTTGTGGACTACATCTCCCATAGTGCTCTAACAGCCATAATGTTGGCAAAGCATCGTGGGAGATGTAGTTCATAACATCTGGAGTGCAGAAGGTTGTCTATACCTGGACTAGATTATTATAGCAAATCATATTACATAACTGATCTGCTTCGGGTGAAAGTGACATTTGTAATGTGCGTAAGATATATTAATAAATGCTGCGAGCTACGGAATTATAACTTCCAACTGCTGAAATAATTTCTTCAACTAAATCAAAACAATCGTATTATATCTGTAAAATGTGTTATATTTTATATATTAAATAAGTATTGTTAGTTACTGTGTTTTTCTTAAAACACAAGAGAAAATGCTATGTCTATTGTCGAATTGCATAATTTGTCTATATAGGTATTTTAGCCTGAATTTTTCCATCTGGATTTCGGTTCACTGCAGAATGTGGTAAATAAAGCCGATGTGTTTTATATTCTGAAATGTAATGCGTATTAAAGGGTTACTTCAACAACCATGACCACTTCTGCTTTTTTGGTAGGACTCTGTGTTGTATCATTTCTTATTGTAAAGCGCTATGGAATCTGTAGGCGCCATATAAATGGCAATAATAATAATAATTTTTGCTTGAAACGCTGCACAGATAGAGAAATCTGAAACCCCGGCACACATGACGAGCGAGGAAGTCTGTTCTTGTCTGCCTAATGTCAATTCCAATGCAAAATTTCCATCTGTCGTTAGCGCACACTGCACGCTGGCAATAAACGTTATAAGCTTCTACCCTTACAAGCAGTGTGTACAAAGGGAAGGATGCATGTGTCCTCCTGATCTCCGTACAGTCCCTTACAGGATCGATGGCTACAGGACAGTCACTATAGGTTGATTTTAGTCACAGATCAAATGAGAACTGACCAATAGAGAGAAAAAAGGAGGAGCACTAACAAAAAAATATATTTCTCAAAGTATATAGTATACATATACACTGAACAAAATTATAAACGCAGCACTTTTGTTTTTGCCCCCATTTTTCATGAGCTGAACTCAAAGATCTAAGACTTTTTCTATGTCCACAAAAGGCCTATTTCTCTCTAATATTGTTCACAAATCTGTCTAAATCTTTGTTAGTGAGTACTTCTCCTTTGCCGAGATAATCCATCCACCTCACAGGTGTGGCATATCTAGATGCTGATTAGACAGCATGATTATTGCACAGGTGTGCCTTAGGCTGGCCACAATAAAAGGCCACTCTAAAATGTGCAGGTTTACCACACAGCACAATGCCACAGATGTTCTCAGGGAGCATGCAATTGGCATGCTGACTGCAGGAATGTCCACTGGAGCTGTTGCCTGTGAACTAAATGTTCATTTTTCTACCATAAGCCGTCTACAGAGGGGTTTCTGAGAATTTGGCAGTACATCCAAACGGTCTCACAACCGCAGACCATGTGTAACCACACCAGCCCAGTACATCCATATCCAGCATCTTTACCTCCAAGATCGTCTGAGACCAGCCACCCGGACAGCTGCTGCAACAATCAGTTTGCATAACCAAAGAATTTCTGCACAAACTGTCAGAAACCGTCTCAGGGAAGCTAATCTGCATGCTTGTCATCCTCATCGGGTCTCGATCTGACTTCATTTCGTCGTCGTAACTGACTTGAGTGGGAAAATGCTCACATTCAATGTCGTCTGGCACTTTGGAGAGCTGTTCTCTTCACGGATGAATCCCGGTTTTCACTGTACAGGGCAGAAGGCAGACAGTGTGTATGGCGTTGTGTGGGTGAGCGGTTTGGGAATGTCAATGTTGTGGATCGAGTGGTCCATGTTGGTGGTGGGTTTATGGTATGGGCAAGCGTATGTTATGGACAACGAACACAGGTGCATTTTATTGATGGCATTTTGAATGCACAGACATACCGTGACGAGATCCTGAGGCCCATTTTTGTGCCATTCATCCACGACCATCACCTCATGTTGCAGCATGATGATGCACGGCCCCTTGTTGCAAAGATCTGTACACAATTCCTGGAAGCTGAAAACATCCCAGTTCTTGCATGGCCAGCATACTCACCGGACCTGCCACCCATTGAGCGTGTTTGGGATGCATTGGATCAGTGTATATGACAGCAATATCCAGCAACATTGAACCAACATTTCACAGGCCACAATCAACAACCTGATCAACTCTATGCGAAGGAGAAGTGTTGCACTACGTGAGGCAAATGGTGGTCACACCAGATATGAACTGGTTTTTGGACCCCCAGGTCCTCCCCAATACAGTAAAACTGCACATTTCAGGGTGGCCTTTTATTGTGGCCAGCCTAAGGCACACCTGTGCAATAATCATGCTGTCTAATCAGCATCTTGATATGCCACACCTGTGAGGTGGATGGATTATCTCGGCAAGGGAGAAGTGCTCACGAACACAGATTTAGACAGATTTGTGAACAATATTTGAGAGAAATAGGCCTTATGTGGACATAGAAAAAGTCTTAGATCTTTGAGTTCAGCTCATGAAAAATGGGGGGGAAAACAAAAGTGTTGCGTTTATAAATTTGTTCAGTGTATATAATAAATATATAATATATAAATGTAGCTGTTTTATTTTATTTACTGCTCCTCCTCTTTTGTGCTCTGTAGTGCAAAATATAAAATTAATATTGATAATGCTAGATTTGGGAATAGTTCCAAAATTAATTTTAGTGTTGACTTGAATCACATATTACAACACCTTGGAGATTTTATTGTTGCTCCGAGTGTAGAGGTGATTATCAGCAGGGCTGCCATCAGAAATTATGGGGCCCCTGACGCAGCCCAAAGTCTGGGCCCCCAGGGCCCACCCCTGAGCTCACCTCTGTGCCTGCCCACATGACACGCCCCCAAGCTCGCCTACATGGCCCGCCCCCGAGTCCCCCCACAGGGACCATCCAAAGTATAACCACAAGGATGAAGTGTGTGCACTGAATTTGGTTTGTGTATAGTGGATACAAAGTGCTTAAGTAAAGTGGATGTGGTGTGTATGTTGTGGATGCGGTGTTTATAGTGGATGCAGATTGTATGTTTGTGTTTATTAGATGCAGAATGTGTTTGTGTAGTGAGTAGAGTGTATGTTTGTATAGTGCATGCAGAGTGTGTGTTGCTGTAGTGGGTGTATAGTGAATGCAGAGTGCGTATTTGTCTAGTGGATGTAGTGTGTATAGTGAATGCAGAGTGTGTTTTTTTAGTGGATGTAGGGTGTATAGTGAATGCAGAGTGTGAGTTTGTGTAGTGGATGTATTGTGTGTGTATAGTGAATGCAGAGTGTGTGTTTGTGTAGTGGACGTAGTGTGTGTATACTGAATGCAGAGTGCGTATTTGTGTGGTGGATGTAGAGTGTGTATAGTGAATGCAGAATGTGTGTTTGTGTAGCAGATGTAGTATTTGTGTGTATAATGAGTGCTGGGTGTGCATAATGAATGCAGAGTGTGTGTTTGTGTAGTGGATGTAGTGTTTGTATATAGTGACTGCAGAGTGTTTAGTGGATGTAGTGTGTGTATAGTGAATACACAGTGTATGTTTGTGTTGTGGATCTAATGTTTATATTAGATGCAATGTGTATAGTTACTGCAGTGTATAGTGACTGCAAAGTGTGTGTTTGTGTGATGAATGTAGTGTGTATAATGAATGTGGTTTGTGTGTTTGTGTAGCTGATGCTGTGTGTGTTTGTGTAGTTAATGCTTTGTATATAGTGAATATGTTGTGTGTGCTTGTTTGTGTGGTGTTTTGTGTGCCAGTTTGTGTGGTGGATGATGTGTGTGTGTGTGTGGTGAATGTGTCTTTATGTTTGACAAATGCAGTGAGGGTATTTTTTTTTCCTTTTAATTTGGACAAAAAATAAAATAAAAAGTATATTAATTTTATTAATTTAAAATAAAAAGTATTACCCCCTCCCTGCCTCTTACCTGTAGCCAGGGAGGGGGGACACTGGATTCCCTGGTGGTCCAGTCTTCATCTTTCCCTTCCGGGCTCTATTTCTGTAAGGAGCCCAGCATGCATTGCATGCCGCGGAGCATTGCCATGGCAACGCTTTACAGCCTCGGCAACGCTTTACAGCTGCTCGCAACAATGCCGGAGCGGGAGGTGAGTATGAAGCCAGAAGGGCCCGCAGAGGCATATATATATATATATAGAGAGAGAGAGAGAGAGAGAGAGAGAGCGCTACTCGCTATATATATATATGTATTAAGGCAGTTTTGCCTGTATTTGTGGGAGGGGCTTAAATTAATTCACTCCCCTATATAAGGGACACCCCTTACCTGACTCATATCGCTTGAGGTCAGCATCAGAATGATTTCCACTTCCGGGACATCCAGACGCCATTTTACCTGATTACTCCATGAGGTTTTCTAAGCTGAGCTGTGTCAGGAATCCAGCCACAGGCTTTTCCGGCCTACCACCTTCTTTCTTCAATCTATCGCTGTGGATGGTGTCCAAGTGACTCACAAACCGTAAGTTGACCTACCCATTACGCCAGGCATCAGTCCCACGGCACCATGCAAGGGTCAGGTCCTCACTTTACTGCTGCATTTTGTCTAAGTCTGTTCTAAAACCATTGCATGTTCATGCATATCATTCGTTTAAACCCCCTACTGGTCTTTGGGTGTACTACAGACTTCTTAGACATTATCGCTTTTCATGTACAAACCAATAAACCACTGCATTTACACCTACACACTGACCCCTACTGGTCTTTCGGTGGACTACAGGCTTCTTAGACATTATCGCATTTCATGTACAAATCAATGAACCACTGCATTTGCGCCTACACACTGACCCCTACCGGTCATTCTGTGTACTACAGGCTTCTCCGACATTATTGCATTTCAGGTACAAACCAACAAACCACTTAATTTTTCACCTACACACTGACCCCTATCAGTCATTCAGTGTACTACAGGCTTCTTAGACATTATTGCTTTTCATGTACAAAACAATAAACCACTGCATTTTCACCTACACACTGACACCTACCAGTCATTCTGTGTACTACAGGCTTCTCCGACATTATTGCATTTTATGTACAAACCAACAAACCACTGCATTTTTCACCTACATACTGACCCCTATCAGTCATTCGGTGTACTACAGGCTTCTTAGACATTATTGCTTTTCGTGTACAAAACAATAAACCACTGCATTTTTACCTACACACTTACACCTACCGGTCATTCAGTGTACTACAGGCTTCTCAGACATTATTGCATTTCATGTACAAACCAACGAACCACGGCATTTTCGCCTACATGCTGACCCCTACCGGTCAATCGGTATACTACAGTCTTCTCAGACTTTATTTCACTTCATAAGCAAACAAACTAACTACAGCATTTTCGCTTTTATACTGACTCCTATCTGTCATACGGTAGGATTAACCCCTTAGGGACACATGACATGTGTGACATGTCATGATTCCCTTTTATTCCAGAAGTTTGGTCCTTAAGGGGTTAAAGGGTATTTTTACCATACAATCAGCATTTATGACCCCTACTGGTCAACAGCAAAACTGTCTTCACATGTCATATACAATTTACCAGCCAATATAAATTACACATAAGATTGTTTTAACCCCTTAAGGACACAAGACATGTGTGACGTGTCATGATTCCCTTTTGTTCCAGAAGTTTTGTCCTTACGGGGTTAAACATAACCATAAACCATAAATGAAACTCCAGCACGGGCTCAAATTCAGGTTTAATTCACAATAATTTACATTTCACATCAAGACCAACAGTGGTTCTATCAACACTGCCACCTACAGGTCTGTCAAGTACATTGACAATTTTCATGGGGTTTTACAAACACCAAAACACTTACACCTATAGGTCAACAGACAAACAACATTTCACATACCAATCAGTATCCAACTACACTGCCACCTATAGGGCACTCGGCAGATCTCCAGTGCACTTGCATTTTGCAACACCATGTTCACTGACCCCTACCATTCAATAAGACATACAACAATTCACATAGCAAGCACTATATCAACATCAGGTATAAATACATATATTATTACACAGTAGCAGACGCGTCTGTATATACGTAACTGGTAATATAGTTCACATACATTTTTCACAGCACGCTGCTCACGCAACAGACTTTCCCCTAGCAAGGGGACATACAACATACAAGGTGGGGACAGACCACATTTTCACTTGTACATACGGCACTTAATGGGTTAAGATTGATACATATTTAACCAGTATGGCTACGATGTTTAATATTTACACATCATGGCACTTTACTTTTCACATATACTGTACGTATTAAGATAAGCTTGGTCTATGTCATATTTCCTTATGCCATATGGTTTTATCCATTCAGGTTACAGTTACTACTAAAAAACCTATACGGATTGTCAGGTTCAATACCATACTACCAGGTACATACACCTGCTCACGTAGTTATCCATCTCTTACCTTCCCTGGAATAGTAATAGTGTACTGGCAATTAGGGTTCTAGGGCCCAATAGGTATTACCCCCTTTTTTCTCTGCATTATGCTTCGGTTAGTGGTCCCGCGAGGCCAACACCCCGCCTCACACTCGGAGGCATACACCCCTCGGGCCACTCGTGAGCTAGCCGCCTCGCATTGTATCATAGAGAGGGCCTCACCTGTCACTCCCCTTCCTATTTTCTGGTTACTGTCACCGAGAGGCCAACATCCTGCCACAATGTTCGGTGGCCACACAAAATCCCCTCGCGCCAAGCATAGATAGAGCCTCTCAAGCCACTTGGCAACTAGCAGGGCCTCACCAGTCACCAAAAAACACCAAGCCTAATCGTTTCGCCTTACGGCTTAGCTAGCAAGCCAGTACAAGAACCCCGGTTACAAATAATTGCATCTTTATTGTTATTTAAGTATTTCTCCAAAAGATGGTGAAGAATCACCTCTTCCTAGCACCCCGGCTAGAATTGATACACCTTCAAGCACAGGAGATGTTGCTAGTCCTGCAGCAATCAGATCCTGGACGATCCCACACATTACCACCGACCTAAGGAGGTGACAAATCCCCTACCCTGCTACAGCAAGGAAAGCAGAGTTATTCAAACTCCTCCATACATCAACGGACAACACGGAGGCAGGGGAAGGCCCAGCTACATCAACTCAGGTGACACCCAGGCTATGCTAGCCTCACTCATAAACTCATGAGCCAAAAAATTTTATGACAGACTGGCAATCTCGAGTTGGTCACCACAGCCCTCACAAGGCTGGGCCTCACGTTACTGTACAACCAGCACCAACCGAAACTCTGTTACCTGGTACAATCAATTCTTATGACACACAAGATGTTAACCCTGCACGTATGATCCCAGCACATTGGGGAAGCAAGGCATATATATGTATGATGATGTATCTGTGATGGTCAGATTCAGGGATTCCAGGTAAATCGGGAACTGACCATCTCTTGGATGGGTTGGTATTTGGAATATGTAGAGATGTTTATTTGTGCAGGTACCCATACAGAAGGGGTTCTGTCCCAAACAAATGGACGAGCACTCTCAGGCTCCAGGTACCAGCACCTCTGAACTACCAGAGACGATTGATATGAGTAGTTGCATTGCATATAGACTGTTGCATATATGTTCAAATGGTTCAGGGCACATCACAAACCATGTGGCCCAATACAACTTACAAATAACGTACTCACCATCTGTACACACCAATGCATTTTCAACACTACTGACTCATCACCCTTCCAGACTTGTAGTAGATTTACTAAAGCTCTGGAGCTTCAAAGGGCTCCCATACAGGTATCATAAACACACCTTCAAGGAGTATAGCATGCCCTCACTTACAGTCAGCACAACAAAACCATTGGCTGAAAACACACTCATAGCCAAGATTTGCAGAGTGGTCTTCCAATCTCCACCATTTACAGCATGGCACCAAACACACACATTGGTATTGTCACAAGGAATCTTCCCTTAAACAAAGACTAACCATAGACTTATTGGCACCACACACCTCCGCTACCCCAAGTCTCAACTCCCTTCTTACTATACAACACCATTGATCTACCTTTACAGCTATCACTCAAGCATGGGTTAAAGCTTGGTTAAGTAAGACCAATATCATCAACGCAGTAAACAGCTACCATCTACCCTACACACTGGCACTTACATGGCATAAATTGGGCAATCCTTTCCCTGCTCAACTTTCGAGCTACAGATTAACCTACTATCGATATTCGCAGATACTCTGTGCTGGTTATGATAACATATCCAGAGGCATTACAGTCATACACTATCTAGAAGACTTCTTGTTGCTCAAAGAAAGCATATTTTTCACTAGAAGCCTCATGGCAGCTTAGTCTGGTTGACCACTTGGGCGTCCCAGTACCCCATAAGAAACAGAAGGCGCAGACACTATCATCACATTACTGGGCATATGACTTGAGTCGGCATCCATACACGCAAGTTACCACAAGACAAACAGGGAACATTCTCAACTAAATCAATCACTACCTCCTGCTTAGTACTTACAACTACAAGGAACTACAATCCCTACCAGGTTCCTTAATTTTGCCATGCCAATCATACCACAAAACCACGCTTTCACATCCAGAGTACTTTCCCCTTTTTTCCACACTTCCAACATGACAATCAGAGGAGGTGCCTAGACACCTCAGCAACAGCAGACCTGCACATGGGGGGGGGGGATTTCTTAACCACTTGGCATGGTAAAAGCATGTTCCTTCCAGGATTGTCTGACACTTCTCCAACCAGATGGTCAGACGCAGCATAAACCATGGGTTTGGCAGCGATCTACCGGGAACAATTGCTTTGGGGCTGTTGGCCATGGCATCCAGGTTTGGAAATTTTTCCACAACTTCAGCCCCTTTGGGAGATCTACCCCATTGTAGCAGCTGCTGTGGCATGGGGTAAATCATGGTCAGGGTCATCAATCCGTTGTTACTCAGACAACTAAGCACATATCATATCATCAACAAACGCCACTACTCATCCATAAGTTCATGATGTTTCTGGGGAACTCACTTGGTTGGCCACTTATCACATTTCACTTTCATGTACCAGACGGGGGTATACATCCCTGCCGACAACTGTCTCATTTATATTCCAGACATGTTCATCATACGCTTCCTACAGCCGCCCATACAGTCACGTCCACTCTTTCGTTCCAGAGACAAAATCATGGATTAGACATACTCATGCAGCATAGCATGCACTATCCCACCTAGCACTTTCGTCCCATACTTGTATATATATATATATATACACACATTGAAGGGCTGACGACCCAGATATGCAGAGCATTAACAGTGCAGTCCGGGCCCCCCAGGACCACCGGGCCCATGACAACCGTCATTGTTGTCACCCCCTGATGGCGGCCCTGATTATCAGTATATATATATTGTGTAAGTATATCTCACAGTAGCATGGGTGTATTACAGACCAAATAAGACATCATGCCCTGTTCAATATCATAAACCTATTAATAAAAAAGGCACTCTTGAAATATGCCCCAAGACTGTGACATGCCCAGCTGCTCTCAACAGCTTCTCCAAAAAGGCAACAATCAGGAGAGGTGTGGAAACTGCAGAACTGAAATAATTAAAGAGAGAGATGCACACCATTTGTTTTTACACACACAGTAAATGTGTATTGTTTTATGTATATGTTTAAGTTAACTTCGGAGGAATAAAGTAAAATCTCAGTAGTTATTACCACTTTTCTCACTTTTCTTTCTTTAACGGATAGGACACTGCCCCAAGTGCCCATATAGATGATGAGCCTCCAATGTGTACATTTAGTTGGGTTAAAATTAAACAGACACTACATGTTGTAACTGACTATCATTTATGATGAAATGGGTAATGCATTACAACGGATATCTAAAGCAAATATAAGGATACCTAGCAAATTTCTTGGTTTCCAACTTCACGCAGAGAGCTCTGCCCAGACAAGTAGGTAATTGATACCTGTCAGACACTTTTAACTTTCCCAGGACTTTTTTTTTTTTTTTGTAAATATGTTTTTATTTATTCGTGATATAATGAAGCATTGTTATGGATACGCAGATCCTTACGGTTAACACAGTAAGTATGAAGCAACAGGGTAGAGAGCAATTATTACAGCTGAAAACATATATAAACCATGAAGGTGTAAAGTTTAGGGTTGTCATCTCGCAAGCCTATTAAGGGGGTGGAACCTGCTGGTCCTGTTCCGTTACCATGAACATGTATAGATATATAGTTTCCCTCCTTGCTAGTGGCCGTAAAAGGGTGTCCTTGCATGGCTTTGAGTCCACCCCAGTAACACTAAGTCCCATAATCTATGGGAGTTCGCCTTTGGGTAGTTGGGAGGTGTCGTGGCGCTACAAACCTATTCCTTGAGTCAGAGGTTCCTGCATCCCTGTGTGTTAGGGAAAATATTACTAGGTCTGTGTATAATTAGGTGGGTTTCATTTCTGAAACAGCGGTGGTGTTGCATGAAGGCGTGAGTAGATGAGACTCCCGCTTTCCAGTATGGGGTCTACTCTGCTGAGTACGAGCTTATCCCTTGCCATGCCTATCGACCGAATGTCGATGGCCTCTGTCAGTGACTCTATTTCGTGGGAATCAGCAGTTTGTACCTCTTTATGACTATTTGAGCGGGTTCATTATCGGGGTTACTTATAACGGAGCTCGAGCGTTGCCTTGTCTCAGGTCGCCGCCCCCGTAGCGTGTTGTCCTATATCATCAGGCACTATGTGTGAGATCGTTGCGAGCTATCTAAGGTGTTTGTCTTGCGTGGTGTGTGAGTTTGTTAGGGGATACTTTGTCTACGGTTGTGTGTTTGTGTGTGTTTCGTGGTGTCGAGGTGCCCGGTTGCCGGGTCCCGGGGTGTCCGAGGTCTGTGGCAACTGGCGGGCAGTCCTGACTTGACAGCTCCCCTTCTCTGTCCGTAGTGTGTCGTGCATGTCCAACCCTGTTCATTTTATATCGAGTGTACATCCTGGGAATAGCCCGACCGAGTCCGGTATCCAGCTCCCCAGATCCCGGGGGCCCAGCAAGAGGGGGTAAGGGAGAAAGTAAAGGCAGGAGAAAATGAGCAGTAAAGGGGTAGGGGTTATGATCTAGGTTAAGTGGTGTCCATGTCCCCTGCTGTCCCCGTCCCGGCGACAGGTGCGTCCCCATCTCGCCGATAGCGAGTGACGTATAGGAACCACGGCGTCCACATCTCGGCGTGTCTGGTACCTCGTCCCGACAGAGTTGCATGTGTTTCCTCCGCTCCCTGGATATCTTCTACTCTTCGAATCCATTCCTTTTTGGTGGGTGTTTCATTTGTTTTCCAGAGAGCTGGTATGTTGGCCTTAGCCGCATTAAGCAGGTGTCGTAGTATAGATTTCTTATACGACGGTATGGGTTGTTCCCAGGACTTTTTGGGGATCTGAGCATATCCCATAATCTCTGACCTAGCAAAATTTTCTGGCAAATGTAATTCAGCACTCAGCAGAAGTTCAGTTAATCAGGTGAAATAAATAACACCATTGTCTACAATTAAAGCAGCTGTAGTGATGTCTGCTTAATGGCAGTTCCATTCAGTGTTTTGTGAATGGAGCTGTGTACACAATTGTTGAACCACGCATAACCATTACTACGGTTCTTGCAGGTACATTGCTAGGGTCAAAAAAATAACTGTGTCTGCTAGAGCCCAAGAATAATTTGGTAACCCCTTATTGAAGCCTCTCCCATTGCATCTCTCCAAAATTACCCCTGCCCATCCCCAAATCAACCTATTAACATGCCTCTTGACATGCACACACAGGCACACATTATTTCATCTTGACAAAGTATAACTCTTTATACAAAACGCATAACTCTGTGAATGAATTAGTTGTCAATTTTTAATGCCTTAGGAATAAATGTTGTTATAGATTTTAATGAAGAAGCTGGTACCGTTATATTTACGTCTAAGACATGGAGTTGCCATTGATGTTTGCGTCTGTGTGATGTTCTTAAGGAGGGATTGACTACCCTATTACTCCACCAGAGGGTTACAAATAGATACAAACAGACAGACACACACAGACATGCATAAACACAAAAAGACCCACACAGAAAGGTAACAACACACACAAATACAGAGACAGGCATACAAAGGCACATGCAGGCACACACAGGCACAGACCGGTACACACAGGCACAGACAAGTACAAACAGACACACATAGACATGCACACACAGGCACACAGTTTCTGGAATGTCAATGTGTATGCTCTCCGAATCCTAGCTTCTTTTGGCTTCTATCTCTATTCTTCCCTCTTTTCTTGCTTCTGTCTGCTCTTTCTTTCTTTTTCTCTCTACTTCTTGTAAGCTATGCCCCCTTCATTCCCTAAACTTCAAAAAAAATTTCAAGTGCCCTCCACCCTACTTCTTGTACAACAGTGTAGTGAGGCCGAGCAGTACAGAATCCTCCTGCTGTTTTCCCTCTACCCAGCCTCAACACAAACTGCCACACTGAGTGGCATGCAGAGATCTGGGCTATGACGTGCATTCCTGCTATTTGGCACAACTTTCTCTACAGTCTGAAGCTGTGCAAATAAAAAGGTAGGCTAGGCTAACTAGAAAGCTAATACATTGCATTCTTGGAATGTCATTTGGGAAGTTCTTTGTCTATAACTGAGGGCCTGAGTGCTCAGCGAATCCATCACATGGCCCCTCTGGTGAGCAAGTAGAACACAGACCGAAAGATTCGGGCTATAGAGACCCATTCGGAACTGAAGCCCCCCCAGCTCCATCCAGCAACACCCCTAATCACTTGGATTATCTATGATCTTAACATGTTTCCTGACCTTGTTTATTCTCATCCATTGGGACTGCATTGCTTATTTGTATTACCAGATCTGTTATTTTTATCAGCAGGCCCCTTTTTAGAAGTGTTATCTGCAGTTTTAAAAATGACTTTTTTTAAAAAAAAATGCAGTTCTTACAATTGGAGGGTTTTAGCCAATAGATATTACCATTGATAGACATAATAGCCAGTGGAAATACAGTATACAAGTTATAGGTAAAACATTAAATGCTGTAAAACAGTTTTTACCTGGTGATTGGGGTCTGTATGGTGTATTTTACAGAAATGGAAATGATTGAAAAGAAATTACTTTTTTAAATGTAATTATTGTTTTACTATTATTGATAATAACTTGATTTTTGTTCCATGCAGAACCAGTAAGGCATAACCATGCCAGAGACATCTAAAATTAAACTCTACATGTGGACTGAAAGAGGTCGCACTGTACAGAAAAAAACTTTTGATAGTTTTGTTGTGATTTTTTTGTTTTTTTTTAACTTCTGCTGATTACTGTAAATTTATTTTATGTGACAGATCCATATACAGTTTACTTTTGTTGCATTGTGTAATGTGCTCTTGGTTTCACAAGCAAAATAAATAAAAATAATGATGTCTTGGAGATGGCAGCAGATTCCAGAATAAGACCTATCGGTTCTTGTCTTGCTCAGTTTTGTGCTCAGTTTTTGAGTAATATATATAATATATTTTGGGAGGTATGAACTCCATGAAAAACAGGAAAATTATTGTTTTTAAAGTATTGTTTTTAGATCAACTTTTGTATTTTAAAATTAACGAGGAATGAAGACTCTTGCTCGTAGCAAAACATGAAGTCCAATAGCCACGTCCAAAATTCTACACTTTAATAAACAATATTTCAGTTACAATTTAATATCACACAGTATTGAATTTTCTGTTTTTTTTTCTTAAATGTTCTTTCATTTTATTACTTTGTTTACACAGTTTGTTTGCAGACCACCATACTGAGACATTTCCTTTAAAAGTGAAGTGGAACCGTAAATCCTTCAAAGGGTCCAATGTTTTGACAGTGGCTACGATTTGTGGTATTTCCTCCACCAAGCAAGAGACAAGGTGCAATACATCATCAATAGAGATAGTTCAATTTCCTTCTGGCCTCTCTGCAATTCGTTATTCGATGCTTAATGTTTTTTAACAGGACTTACGATTCTTAAGATAATGATGTATCGTAGCGAACAAAACAGCAACCTTGACTTCTACTTGTTGCAAGGGCTAATGGCTTGGAACCATATCCCTTTGTCACGATCATGACTATGGGTGATTGGTATGCCCTTTTAATTTATTTATGTGACCACTGTTTACTGTGACACTCTAGATTCCTCACATTGAAAGCTAAAGGTGATTTATCCGTAACGGAACAAATTAAAATCTGGTGGTAAAAAAAAATCTAATTTAAAATTTTTGAAATAATACCTGGTGTGGTTAGAAGCACAACTGAAAATCTTCATCAATAGTATACATTAAATGTTATCTGGAGTGAAAGAAATCCTATTGATATCCACTATGGGAACAAATCTTGGTCTAGGGTCATGACATGAATACAAACGAGGCACAAGCTATAGATAAAATGTTGATTATGACACTGAAAGAGCATCCAGGGATGCATTTGTTAAAAGAAAAGACAACACTGTGATTGGTTTCAAGCAAATGTGTGTATACGGTCTACTATAAGGCACGATGAAGCAAAGAGGGAACATCATGGAGTTAATTGTAGGACAATGAAGTCTTGCTACCAGCGTATATCTGTTAAATATATATATTAAAAAAAAAAAAAAGTTGAGTTGAGGTTTTAAATTGACACAAAAAAATTTTAAGGACACAATTCTGGATTTTGAAGTTGAATATATAATTACAATTATATAGTATTTTTTAAAATACCTGTAGAAGTCATGTCAAATGCTAAGACTGGCATTTATCCTTAACAAACATAGCATAGATTATTTATCATGCAATACAAAACTCACAACAAAGAATTTTAAAAAGAAGCTTTGGAATTCAGGTAGAATTTTCTAAAAGTGCATTAATTAAGCATTTTTGGGAATTTGTCTGGCCAACTATATTCCAAAAACATATATGTAGCAAGTATCTTTTCTTAGATGAGACATCTTTAGTGATAGTAAACTAAATAATAGCCCTTGTCATTTTGAATAGTTGGTTTAGCATCTATTGGTCGCCCAACAAGTACAAATTATTATAGGGTGCAGGACAAATGTTTAGCCAGTAATATGATTTTAGATTGCTGTCAGATAGGCCTTGTGTGATCAGACTTGGGGTTCAGAAAATAACCAGAATTCAAGGACTCTACACTGGCATTAGGCATGAGAAAGGTAACATAGTAAAAGCAGGGCACGGGAACCACATAGACTTTAGACTAGAAGAGTTCTAAATGACAAACTGACGTATTGGCAAAGAAAGATAAGATCTCTGAGAAAAATATGAACTCATATTAAGGTATCAAAGAGAATAAATGTAATATCCTCGTCTGTACCGTGAAATCAGGAGTTACTACTTCCAAGTGCTTGGTTCGAATTATATTCATTCCTATTTACATATTTATACTATTTACATGCTCTTCTTCAACTTTGTGTTCCTACCCATCTCTTTCCATGTGTTCTTTCAATCTCCCTCTCACTCTCTCGCAAACTCTTCCTATGTACCCACACATTACTCTCCGCACTAATAAAGTGCTGTGTATAATGGAGAGGTGTAAATATCATATCACATCATAAAATCTTCTCTCATACAGAGATAAGCACCAAAACATCAGTGGTGAGGCTTTGACATAGATAGGAATTGAGCTAGGCTTTGATATGGCTACCAAACAGCTATAGAACATCATAGAATCAATGGTACCTTCTTCTGTTTTGTTTCTGGTTCAACTGGTGTTTATGAGATACAAATAGGACATTTGACATGCATTCAGAACAATTGGCTGAGTTACGTATCCAACTTTGATAGCCCCAATTACTAACAAAGAAACAACACAATTATTGTGGGAATATTTAAATGACCTGCAATGCTCTAACTTCGGTGTTATGTAAGCTTTTTTTGTGATCAAACACGTAGTATATATATATATACACACTGCTCAAAAAAATATAGGGAACACTTAAACAACACAATGTAACTCCAAGTCAATCACACTTCTGTGAAATCAAACTGTCCACTTAGGAAGCAACACTGAGTGACAATCAATTTCACATGCTGTTGTGCTAATGTGATAGACAACAGGTGGAAATTATAGGCAAATAGCAAGACACACCCAATAAAGGAGTTGTTCTGCAGGTGGTGACCACTGACCACTTCTCAGTTCCTATGCTTTCTGGCTGATGTTTTGGTCACTTTTGAATGCTGGCGATGCTTTCACTCTAGTGATAGCATGAGACGGAGTCTACAACCCACACAAGTGGCTCAGGTAGTGCAGCTCATCCAAGATGGCACATCAATGCGAGCTGTAGCAAGAAGGTTTGCTGTGTCTGTCAACGTAGTGTCCAGAGCATGGAGGTGCTACCAGGAGACAGGCCAGTACATCAGGAGACGTGTAGGAGGCCATAGGAGGGCAACAACCCAGCAGCAGGACCACTACCTCCACCTTTGTGCAAGGAGGAACAGGAGGAGCACTACCAGAGCCCTGCAAAATGACCTCCAGCAGGCTACAAATGTGCATGTGTCTGCTCAAATGGTCAGAAACAGACTCCATGAGGGTGGTATGAGGGCCCGACGTCCACAGGTGGGGGTTGTGCTTACAGCCCAACACCGTGCAGGACGTTTGGCATTTGCCAGAGAACACCAAGATTGGCAAATTCGCCACTGGCGCTCTGTGCTCTTTACAGATGAAAGAAGGTTCACACTGAGCACATGTGACAGACGCGACAGAGTCTGGAGACGCCGTGGCGAATGTTTTGCTGCCTGCAACATCCTCCAGCATGACCGGTTTGGCAGTGGGTCAGTAATGGTGTGGGGTGGGATTTCTTTGGGGGGCCGCACAGCCCTCCATGTGCTCGCCAGAGGTAGCCTGACTGCCATTAGGTACCGAGATGACATCCTCAGAACCCTTGTGAGACCATATGCTGGTGCGGTTGGCCCTGGGTTCCTCATAATGCAAGACAATGCTAGACCTCATGTGGCTGGAGTGTGTCAGCAGTTCCTGCAAGATGAAGGCATTGATGCTATGGACTGGCCCGCCCGTTCCCCAGACCTGAATCCAATTGAGCACATCTGGGACATCATGTCTCGCTCCATGCACCAACGTCACGTTGCACCACAGACTGTCCAGGAGTTGCCAGATGCTTTAGTCCAGGTCTGGGAGGAGATCCCTCAGGAGACCATCCACCACCTCATCAGGAGCATGGACAGGCATTGTAGGGAGGTCATACAGGCACGTGGAGGCCACACACACTACTGAGCCTTATTTTGACTTGTTTTAAGGACATTACATCAAAGTTGGATCAGCCTGTAGTGTGTTTTTCCACTTTAATTTTGAGTGTGACTCCAAATCCAGACCTCCATGGGTTGAAAAATTTGATTTCCATTTTTTAATTTTTGTGTTATTTTGTTGTCAGCACATTCAACTCTGTAAAGAACAAAGTATTTTCAGAAGAATATTTAATTAATTCAGATCTAGGATGTGTTATTTTTGTGTTCCCTTTATTTTTTTTGAGCAGTGTATATATACAGGAATGGGAAAAAGAAAGTACACCCTCTTTGAATTCTATGGTTTTACGTATCAAGTCACAATAACAATCAGCTGTTCCTTAGCAGGTCTTAAATTAGGTAAATACAGATGAACAACAACACATGACATATTACACTGTGTTATGATTTAATTTACAATAAAGCCAAAATGGAGAAGCACTTTGTGAAAAACTAAGTACACCTAATGATTTAATAGCCTGTAGAACCACCGTATATATATATATTTGTGTACGGCACATTTCGAGGACGTAAGGAAACAAATAATAACAAAGAAACAATATTGGAAAGAGCAAAGTCAGCTGAGGTGTGCCGAAACTGACGTGAGGCTAGACCTGTAAAAGAGGGCCCACCTAGGTGAAATGATGTTTAAAGGGTGCGATGTTGAGGGTGCGGTGGGATGCTGACGGGTGAGTAGGGAAAAAATGTTTTACCTCCCACAATTACAGGCCAAGCCTTCTATTTGTGTACGGCACATTTCGAGGACGTAAGTAAACAAATAATAACAAAGAAACAGTATTAGAAAGAGCAAAGTCAGCTGAGGTGTGCCAAGGTTAGACCTGTAAAAGAGGGCAAAAATAAAAGAAGCAATTTCTCAAAAATACATATAAGTGTATTAAGTACAAACATTATTTAGACATGTCATGGAAAGCCATTCTTATCTCTTTTTCAGAGTTGGGAATGTATCTATTGTATGCGGATGATTTCCACCTTCCCATATTCTTTATGATGTGAGTTGGTACGTGGTTACCTGAGGCAGCAGAAGCTGCTCCAATGCGGAAGGAATGACCCGAGAAGACGTGTGGGTTGTGTCTTAGCCGGAGTAATAATGTCCGAATCTAAAACATGAATTGTTTAGTGGTTAGGGGTTTCCCTTGAATGCCTAATAGTGGATAATCCGGGTTGGAAGTTATCTGGGACACCATTAGTTTACCTAAAACTAGGATAGGACACCATCTGGTAGAGGTAGGATAGTATTTAATTTCTACTGGAGGACCTGTTTGGCTTGTTTTGGTATGGGTAATATATAAGATGTAGTGGTCCTGTTTTTTAATTAGGTGTTTCTTCTGGAGGCATGACTTGGAATCGGATGCTTTCTTCACTGAAAACCCTTTGGGTCTCAAGAAACCATAAAAGGCTAAGTAAGCCGCAGCCTTGACAATTAGGTTTGTGGTGTGTTCAAAAGGGGACGTGTCGAGAATATCGGAGATACTTTTAAAGAGCTTACTGTCTATGGGAAGTCTCTGGAATGGGATTGTGTAATGATAATCTGTAAACACCTCTTAGGATACTTTTTACTGGGTAGGACGTTAGAAATTGATTTTTGTTGGGATAGTTGGTCAGCATTTAGTGTTGTATACCCTTTAAGTAGAGTTTGATAGTGTTGTATGCTAACTTAAGAGAGATGTGGCAAAAAGTAGTGAAAGCTACAACAGTTTCAACAGAAAAAACATTTATTATATGAGAACAAAACTTATAAACAATTTGTATGCTCTGGAGTAGGCTTTCCTTGTATTAGGGGACAAGCCTGCCTGTGCGAGAGACCTACTATGTTATAATAGAGAACTTAAAGTATAATTAGTTTCGAGAAGCTTGGAGGTTCTCTGGGATGCGGTTTCGCTGATGGATGAAGCCTGAAAAATTCCTGCAA